ACTATGTTTTCGTAGACAATCAATTCTTTATCTGAAATTTAGATTGCAATTAAGCGTTTTTTTTTTCTTTTGAGATATGTACATATACAGTCGTAAAACGTCCATTCCACAATAGTATTTGCTATTCATTTTGTCAGCCGTGAATAATGTTGTCTAGTTAATCTACTCTGAAGATTCCTTCACTATATCTTCACTGCCTGCTTGATCCGTCTATAATTATTCAAAATCAACTTAAAATGGCAAGAAAGGAATAATCCCTCTTTCAGTATTTTTAAAATTGAATTAATTGCAATCAATATCAATACATCTTTTTACTTAAATTCTCCGGGCATAAATAAACCGTCGAGTAATCGTGCAATGAGCGCCTAGCTCTACTAGCTAATTGCAACGAAGCGCGGTAAAATCAGGCTGTGGATGTTGAGCAAACGAAGGGCGATTTCTCATTGATACCTACCTAAGTATATTATTCTTTTCTAACCGACCTTCGTTATTACAATCGAGGTAATGATTTGCCAAGTTTAATACACCTGCGCATTTTATTCACACCGGGCAATTTTCACGGTACAATTAAACGGGCACGAGTTTACGCGTGCCTAATTTTAAAAGTCGATTTTATGTAATCCATTTGCGAGCAAGAAAGCAAGTAAACGGTGAATTATTTACTGATAAAATGAATATTCAGTAAGAAAACTGAGATTATTTCGAAAGTGGAGTTAAGTATTCCATTTAATGCCGGACTACAGACTACAAAAGTCTTCTTGGCTTTTTAATATGATTTATGTATGTCTTACTGTCTTGCCGTGTGGTTTTAGCATAAAATAGACCACCCCTTCCTTTCTCGTAGGTGTTGTAAGGGAACTTAATGGTCAAGAGCCGGGCAGCAGCGTACCTCTTAAAATATCACCAAAACCTAACTGCGATTGCCAACTCGCCTACCCAGAGCGGCAACTATTGACAAAACCCCCCTTATAGGGGAAGCCTCTGTTCAACAATGAACAGTTAACAACTGATATGATGATGATGTCCTAATGGAATATAGAAGGTGACACCAGGAAATGAAATATATTTTTTATTACTATTATTTATAGATAGATAGGTATTCTTTAATGTTTCCTCCAAAAGATTACAATAGTAAACTTATTATAAATATAAACAATTACAAGAAATAATCACAATACGAAAATAATTATATTAGTATTATAAAGAGAAATCACTTTTCTTTGTCTGATGCTGGTGTTTCCTTGTATCTGAATAATTTTTTATTATTATATAATGTAATATGAGTATAATCAGTATATTATTTTAAATTACTATTTTAATTTAATATTGTTTATTACGTTACACTGTCAATTACATTTTTTATTATTCTGATATTAGGTCTGCTATTTACACTATCTAGGTGTATTAAAGTTTAATAAATAAATAAACAAAATATATGACTGTTTGTAATGGATAAACTCCAAAACTATTCAACCAATTTTACAAATTGTTTCGTTTATAGAAGTCTACAATTTCAACAAGTTATGTAACTTAAGTTACTTGCTGAAATATATGTTTTTTGAGTATTACGTAGTGTTTACTTGCTCTAAAATTTTGAGCACTTTATCCAAGAAGGAAGAAATTCATAGACAAAATTGATCTTTTTTTTTCAAGAATTATATTTTTAACTTTTAAATAATATAAATTGTTTTCTAGGAAAAAAAAATATTTTTGATAGTATTAATGCATACTAACATTAATTTTAAGTAATGAACATACTATATACATACCTTCAATATCAGATCCATCAAATTACAAACTGGTAACTGCAACGATAAGCAATTTGGCATGTTCATACAGAGCAGACCGCATACGGAAAGTACAGACGGGAATATATAGTTACAAGTCCTTTAGTAATATGAGTTGAGAGGAATGCTCGGAGTTTCACTGCGTGATGAAACTCTAAACGAGAATATGCACAGGAAATGCAGAAAATGATACGATCCGCAGGTTGACTAAACAAACGTCACATCCTAGCAGTCAAGATGACAATGTGACGCCAAACCGGACATTACTATATGCGAGTGCTCCGAATGTCTATAGACATATCCCGTGATCTGTTTGCACAAGTTCTGTATACTTAGTTATCCTCGCAAAAATTGTTGGCTATAAATGTACAACTTCCTGAACAAAAATAAATATCTCATACTTATTACTCATCGAAGATTCAAGAAATACCAGGATATTCTTTTTATGGGCATCAGCGGAGTGCTAGACTACACGTGTAATTTCCAAAAACAAGTGGCCTACTATATATCTAGAATAAGGTCCACTTGTATATAATCCGTTTCCATACATCTTAATGATAATATAAACATACGAACAAGTGACACAACCATAGACAATTTGCCGATTTCCAATAGCAGTACAAATAAAATATCGATTTATTGAATTGACGTTTCGATTTCTTACTAATTTCTTTTACAATATTTATGTGATAATTTCGACAAGACTTGGATACTTTTTCATTAAATTCTATTGAAAGAAAATGTAAAATAATTTTTCAAATCTGCTCAGTCAAATTGACCAAAAAACACTTAAAGACAAAACCTCTATATTTACGAACTAGATAGCGCATGCTTCATCCTCTTTTTAAATAGCACTGAAAGAAAAAAAATGCTCTAAAGAAAATTAGGAAGAAGCATGGGCAAGTTTTTAAATCAGCCATTAAGGCGATGAAAAACGCTTACGGACCCGCGAATAAAACTAGTTATACCTAGTAAACGTTTAATTTACTATATATATTTTGTCTTTTGCGAATATATTGCTATTAGTTCACTAGCAATATATTCGCAATAGACAAATAAATTACTAGTCTTACGACTACCACAGGCCAGTCATTACGACCAATGACACTGAACTTGCAACTTTTCGTTTCCTATCAAAGCCAGATTAGTACCGAGACGAATAATTGTAGATCGTAGAATCCTACCGTGACCAGCATAATGATATCAAGATTTTGTTCTCGCTCGGTCCCTCGACCTTTTCCACTTAGCAAATTATTCACGAATAATCACAAGCCTTAAGTAGATACGGGCCTGTCTTATTACATCCATTTGAAATAATACTTCATCCCTACAAATGAAAGTATACGGTGTAAGTTTATTTTATAGTGAAGACACAACTGTAGTATAGTATCCATTATACTATAGGTTTAATTCAAAGATTTTGTAACTCCTTGTTCTTAGCTTTAATTATACATTGTTGTTATTTTTTAATTCGCTAAGTGTTAGTAGTGACAACTTACTATTTACCCTAAGACCGCTGGTACTATTAAAAGATTTAAATTTAAAATAAATTTTAAATAAAAACATTAAAAGATTTCGGTAATTTCTTGTTCTTAGGTACTATCCTAAATCTAAGTTTACCCCGTTATTCATAAAAATGACAAACGTCGCACAAATCTATTTTGACTATGGTAGAGTTTTGTCTTTTCTTTTGCACTAAATTCCAAATTAGAAAATGATAAAATTATGTAATAGTTGGCAAAGCTACGTAAAAGGTTTTACTTTTTATAAATAAAGGATTAGTGTGCCCTTATACACAGATAATATGTGTCTAACCTGTCGATATTTAAAATGACCGTTTAATCAATTTTGAATTAAAACATTATTGCAAGTTCACAACATAAAATACTTGAATTTGATTATCGTTGGTTCGTTATTAATTAATTAAGTACAGTAGATCAGATATGAATACGATAATTTACTATGGCTCTAATCAATAATTGAAAAATTTTACAAAATAACATATGACACCTTATCTTTTCGCCACGTTAAATTAACATATTAATAACGGCAACATTGGCAATATCAGCGCGCGCAAATTCACAGAATGCCGTGCATCGCTGTCGTCGTACGCGCTTTTAATGTTGTCTGTGCTATTAAAACTTATATCATTATGAAATAAGCATTATAATTTGCATTTTTATAAGAAATATTATATGTGATGTAATTCCATGTAGGAAGTTGCAAAATATGATCTTGATTTATATTCTAAATCAAGAAAACAAATCGTGACCGTAATGCGATTTGAACGATCCAGTGTTCGAACTTAAAACGTAAATATTTCAAACCGTGTCAAATCTACAGAGCAAGAAGGGCTAGAGGTATATTAATAAATAAAAGTAAGTATAATCTAAACATCTTATGAATATTTGCCTATTTATTTACCAGCAATATATATAATAATAATATATATATATAATAATAATAATAATATACTATATAGATAAGAAATAATATTCCATATTATTTGCGAGAAATTTGAATATTTACGCACCTTACAACCTCTCTACTGACATAATAATGTGGGTAGTTTGTGCGTATTTACATCACCTTTAAACAACCACATGACCGCATGACAAACGAAATCAGTCTTCCTCGAAATGTTAGTCAAACAATAAGCTATTCTGTTTATTTGATTTTTGCAACAATAACGAACGTTACCTTCATAGTTACCTACTCTTTTAGCGTTGAAATACTTGCAAAACGAATAGGTATAGATTGGTGGGTAGGTACGTAGGCAAATACTTTCACTATAGTTAGTAATTGAAGCATTCGCAAACGATTTAAACATCATCCAAACATAACAATGCATAATTAAACGACCGACACTTTCCATCAAGTGACAAGACAGAAGCCAATTCATAATTTCATGTCCATAAACGTCAAAAGAGAAATGATAAAATACATGATTTGAATGAGGCATCCATTAAAATATTGCATTTATAATTGTTTATGTCCATATAATGGAGCGCATTAAATATGTACACGTATTCTATGGCGATGGAGCGTGGTACCTTTATGGCTACAACGAATAAGGCCGGTACACGCACGAGGAATTGTGATTGAAAGTCCTGTTACATGCTTGCGATTCAATGACTCGGACACAGTTCCAGTAAGTACGAAAAAATTTGTTTTCCTACGAGTACAGATATATAAAAATTGCATATTACGTACCTTTTAGTAATCGCTGTTCAGCTTATTAGAATTAATAAATCCAGTAACAATACACGGAACGAAAACAAAAACCTCACTGTGCACTTTGCAAACACAAAAATAAGAAACTAAACTTGTATGATTTACGATGTAACAATAAACAGCGGTTAACGATGCACACACATATTTGGGGTAGGTTTTTTAGGAAAATAACAAAACTCGCACAATATTTTTTGAACAGATGGGATATTTATTTTTGTTCACGCGCGACGTTACACGATCGCGAGATTACGACACCAAGCCACCTTCCACGAAGGAATCACGGCACTGACGGACCGAATTTGTTTGGCCGTATTTTACCATCCCTTTCTAACGAGGCCCGTTTTGTTTACGATTAACGCCACCTATTGACAACACACCGAGGTTCGGAGATACTAATATCACCGTACAAAAAGTAACAAAGGTTCATAATATAATGCTTTTTTTATTTACAATATGACAATACGAGAAAAGAACTACATTATTCCATTAGAGGACGCTTTCAGAATTAATTCTTTTATGATGTTAATGAAAAAATAGGTATCTAATAATCTCATGTAGTCATCGGTCGTCTTCATCAATTAAATAAGAACTAAAATCGATTCCGATTTACATAGTATCTATTTTTGCTCAATCTAAAATTTCAGTTTCATATTACAACGAATTAATTAACAAAAATATAATAAGTAGATATAAGTTTTTGCGTTTCAACCAAAACTAATTCTTGTAATTAATAGTTTTTAAGTAGTTTTTGTGACCATCACGTCCACTTCATTAAGAGGCTGCCTTTACCAGTAATCACATCGTAATGCGATTTTAATTAATCGTTTTTTTCTTTTTATTTTGTGCAGTAATAAGAAATAATTAGGTTTAGTAGCCGTAATAGGGCCGTTAACGGATTGTTACAAAGGAGGATAAAATTGTAGATAATAAAATAATAATAAAAACTTTATTGTCACGAAAGATGGACAGGACTTCAGTCGGTTATAAGCAGTACAGATTATTTTGTAAGTTTATAGAAATTATATTAGTCTATGGTTTCTGGCCTAAATCGAGATCAAAAACAAAGAACGGTTTACTGTCTTATACAATATTTATATAACAATTTTTACCTAAAAATTAATTTGTGAGAAATGAAACAACTTTTGGTAACAATTTTTTTTCTGGCCCTTGTATAATAGAGAATAAGGGTACGTGATGCCCACAACAGGGCAATTTAGTAGAGCGTAGGCATGCAATAAATGAAGATATTTATCACATTTAAAAAACCATAAACATAGAAGATTGTTTTATTAATTAAAACTATTTGTAATTAACACCTGAAATTAGCCTATAATAATTTTGCAAGCCAGCACATTTTCTGTTTGTTCAGCAATTACTTTAATCAAGTTATTATTTGACAACAGATTTTTTGGCTGGTATCCAGAACTTATCCACGAATCTAATATATCAGTATTCGGCAGCATAGTTCGTAATGTATTCCGAACGTAAATGTATGCTTGGGGCGAATATTTATATATACTGAGTGCGAAGTTCATTAAGTCATCTGTCTGCCGCACTGGCATAGCCAATACTAAACCATTTGTGTCCTCTTTAATTTTATCTTGTAGCGATAGAAGTATTCGAGCTTTTCTCTTTCGTTTCTGCTCCAAAATCTTCTTCTTTCTTTCTACCCTCTCCTCAACTTTTTCTATGGCTCTATTATAACGATTGTGGGCCTTCATGATGCGTTTTAACTTGTCTTTTAAGCCGACAGCTTGTCGTTGCATTTTCTGCACTACTGTAAATAGCTTTAATATTTCTGCATTGTCTACTTCTTTTACTTTTGTTTTTAATACATTGTTTATATTTGCAGTCCCATTAACAGATCTTTTGGCATTCACCATTCCCATATTGGTCATCAGTTTATTACTGATTGCTGGTTTACTATTGGTCAATATTTTCGTATTGATCAATGGTTTAGTATCAACCACCATTTTAGTTTCAGTCATCGATCTGTTGTCAGTCACCTGTCTAGTTTCCACGACCAGCCTATTGTTAAGCACTGGTTTACTGTCGTTCATCATTTTACTATCAGTCACTGAACTATTGTCATCCATTTCATCCATATCCATGTCCGAGTATTCTTCTCCTTCATCATCTTCTTCATTATCAAATGTGTCTTCATCAATATATTCAACCTAAAAAAATATGTATATTTTAATTTAATTAAATATCTAAAAGTATTTACAAATTTACACATAATAATAGTAGATTTTTGTCTCAATTTTCCTCCTGCTAGCACCTGCTGTCATAAATGTTTGGCAAAATTTACCCCTTCATAATTATTTTTGTTAGATTTTATTTTTTGCTGCAATATCTTTTTTAATTAATTATTTCTTTTTTTTAATATGCAACTTTTTACTTCAAATATTTGTTAAATCTTATTTTTTTACACCACGAAGATGGTAATCAAACATACCAGCCTGTCTGATGGTAAACGGTCACATGCACATTGTTGACCCAGAAGAAAACTTAATATACCCTTTTTGAAGAACCCATACTATAGTCTCTAGAGCAGTGTTTCTCAACCTTTTTTGTGCCACATAATTTTTCCTGACAAAGTTTACTTGATGACTCTTATGATATTGCCCAGTTGATATTTTGGTAACATCAAACAACTTTTTTTGGTACCGATATCTACTCCTAACATTGCATTAAAATGGCCTGGAGCAAAAGGGTTAAAATCACTTTGATTCCATTTTTTAATTGCCCACCCCCCCTTAACTATCAATTGCCCCCCCTGTGGGGTGTGGACCCCACGTTGGGAATCACCGCTCTAGAGAAAACCTTGTATTGGGAAAAGTAAACTCCTCTGAAACCACACTGTATACAAACATTTATATTGGAGCATGTGAGGATGCATTCTACGTCTATTGCAAACAATGCAATGATAAAAGGGGGCTGTGGGCATCATTATGAATAATTTCACAGATTACAACCTGTTATATAAAAAGTACAACACACAAGTTTTTTTTTAAGTGTTAAATTAATATCACAATCAGTCCTTTTAAATTGCACATTTAATAACAATACTATTTATAAATACCTCTAAAACATGTCCAGGGAGCTTTAAAGATGGTACAGCCTTGTCTACTAGGACCATTTTGTCATCGGCATCACATACAAAACAGTCAACAGAGAAGTGTTGTATGCAGATATATGAATAATCAGTTGGAGTCCAGTTATTGCGTCCTGTCAGGTCTGTCCATATCTGTCTGAAGTTTGCATCTTCTGGAAACCTGAAATCAGGCAGAATTATTACTTAACCATGGTGATGTAGCAATCCCTGGACAATACAAATATTTGTATTCATAAAATATGTTTCTTTATATCAGTCTGGTTGTTTACTGTATATTACATTGCATGTCTATGTCAAAATTTATTAAAATGTTAATTATAATTAAAAAGAGCTGGGTTTTTTCTATCACACCCTTCTTTTGGTTTATTTATAATAATTAGTAATAATACACTTTATTAATTATATACAAAATTAATTTACTTAAATGTCATAAAAATACACACCTAAAAAATGATTCTTCATCTAAATTTTTAAAGTCCTCACATCCTAATACTGCACAGGTTTTGGTGATTTCTGTGTTATCAGCGTTTTGTTTTACCTCTGGTGCAACCATTGCTAAAAATATTTAAAAAATTAATAAAACAATTATGTTGTTTATTACTTATTTTTACAAAAATGATGCCACAGTCATACAAAATAAAGACCTTATGTTAGGGCTAATACCTCATGTAACTACCACTAATTAGGTCGTGAATTTTGGATCTAAAATTTAATAACATTACAAATCCACCTCTGTTAATAGGAATAGGTATTATTGTCTCCTTCATTCCCCAAATGACATACACATATAACTTTTCACTTTGACATGTACAAAATACATTACAGCCATATATAAAACTCTAAACAGTCGATTCAATAAAGTAAAATTTTTGTAGAATAGGTTCAAACTTCACACAAGTAATATTAAATAAAAAGTTACTAAAAGTATTGTCAGTATATTCATATTTCTGAAGATCTCGCTGACGATTTTCTAGTTGACTATAGGTTTATTTAACATAATTTTTAAATGTAGAGAAATTATACTTTAAACTTACTTTTGGAATTGTTATTGGAATAATATAATGAATTAGTAAATACCCATATTTGTTTTGAAATACAGCTTCTCTTAAAATGTTTTTAAGAATACTATATCCAATTAATCAACTGTTAAAACAACCTAGGAAGAGTGGGGACACATTATATCCTTCCTCTGTTTACCACACAAGTTTTATCATAAATTCTCTATTCAAAATTGAAAATGCTTAAATCACGACTCTGACAAGAACATACAGAAGTATTGTAATAATATTACATACCAACTGGCGTTGATTTTGTTTTATTTTCAGAAAATTCAGTAATATTCTCCTTCATTTTGCAACCTTCGTTGAAACTCATACTAGTCTATTAAGATAAAATCTGAAAACCAGTAACATTGGTAATATTCCTTTTTGTTACACACTAACACTAGGTAATTTCTTACAATTTCTGATAAATAGATAATCGAAACACAAAATAAGTTGTAGGTATAAAGTAAGCTATGCGGTTACACGGGATAAAATGAAAGCGGCAGTCTTTTTATAGGTTATAAATTTTTATTATCAAGTAATTTCTTGTGGAGTGATATAATCCAATCTATGAAACTACACATAAACATAAATATTAAATCTAAAACTTGATGTACGTGAAAATACAAACTTAGTTACATTAGCCTAAGCAACAAACAGGTAACCACAAATAAGATTTTTTTCTAATTTATTACTAGAGAAAACAACCAGCTGAGTGAACTTCGTAGATGGTCATTACATAAACCGTACAATCCATAAAAATTCATTTTGTTTATATATACATTATGTGATAAATGAAACTGTGCAGAAAAAGAGTATTAGGTATATTCTTTGATGCAAGCCCATTTTTATATTATGAATAGCAATGTAATATATGCGTTTAGATATATCTGTGGCATATAAATTATCGTAAGTACATAATACTAAGTCTATGATATGCGCGAGTTTGCTAATCCATAGACCGTGTACCCCAGTACACGGTCTATTATTACTACTATTCTCTATCTACTCTTACTCTATGGTTATCTCGAGTTGTTGATTGAACAAAGAAAAAAAAATGTTTTCATTCTGTTCTGTATTGTCATTTTAATACGTAATTTTTGGCTTGATCATACTTATTAAAATATTAATTTTATGTTATTGGAAGTACAGTATAAAAATGGTTGACCCAATATTCGATTACCAATTTAGGCTAATTTTAATCGGCGACAGTACAGTGGGAAAAAGTTCATTGTTGAAGTATTTTACGGACGGGAAATTCGCAGAGGTAAAATAGTTTCCATTGTTTTCATTTTGTTCCATTACGTTTTTTCGTGAATTCTAATTTATGTTGCATTTTTATTTATAGTTATCGGATCCCACGGTGGGCGTAGATTTCTTCGCCAGAATTATCGAAGTACAAGATGGTACGCGAATTAAATTACAATTGTGGGATACAGCTGGCCAAGAAAGATTCAGATCTATAACGAAGTCTTACTACAGAAATTCAGTGGGTGCTTTATTAGTGTATGATGTGTGTAATAGATCTAGTTTCGAGCACATACCTCTTTGGATGATGGAGGCAAAGAGGCATATAGAACCACACCGACCAGTGTTTGCCCTAGTAGGGTGTAAGGTGGACTTGGTTGGTGACAACAAGAACACTACCCGGAGAGAAGTCTCGTGTGAGGAAGCTAGAATGTTTGCTGAAGAAAATGGTATGATCACATAATGTTTATTTATTTTGATAAAAATTTAATATATAACTTTTTATAATTAACCTTTATCATAGTGTTATTATCAAGACATTAACCTTGAATATCTTATTTATATTCTAAATATGAAAGTTTGTAAAAATATATAGATGTTTGTTAATCATGTTCAAATGGCTGCATTTAATTAATCATTATTGTACTTAGACTCTTTTGTATGATGATGACCAAGTATTGATTGCATCATCTGAGTATGTATTACAATAAATAATGACTCGAATGAATGAAGTGTATGCTAGGAAATGTATGAAAATAAATGTGAAAAAGACAACTTTTTTTATGGTTTTTGTGGGAACTGTAAGTTTAACTGCATCTTAGATAATGATAGGAGATGGAAGAGTAGAGCAAGCTAGTGAGTTTCTATATTTGGGTTCATTGTTTACAAAGGACGGAATGTGTGAGAGAGATACTGAAATTAGAGTGAAAGTGAGAAATAGTGTTAATGGTGCACTGCTCTCAATTATAATGAGCAAAACTCCCCTTGCTATAATTCAGGAAGTACTGACACACACTGGTATGGCAGAAGAAGAATGAAAGTAACAAAGGTGCTGTAGAGATGAGAACTGTCAGAAGTATGTGTGGTTTTGCATTAAAAATTAAGAGTGGAAAAAAGTGTGGTTAGAGAGAAGTGTGCACTGAAAGACAATGTTTAGTGACAAAAATTGAAAAGAGAATGTTGCATTAGTTTGGCCATTTGGAAAAGATGAATGAAAAAAATTACAAAAGACCTATAGAGCATGAACAAATGGAGATGTTGGTAGGGCTTGTCCTAGATGAACATGCCAACCAAATAGGCGACATGTTGAAAAAGAGCCAATTTAAGGTACTCCTAGTCGGCAAGCATGTATGAAAAAATTGATGAATGTGGAAGAAGCGAAAGAGGCTTGATTCAATCAAAACATTTGACATTGCATTGTTTCTGCCTACCCTAATGGGAGATAGGCATGACAGATATGTATGTATTGTGCTTACTCATACATGTAAAACTACAGGAACAAAGCTTAGTTGTGTGTAAAAGAATGATTTAACAATAATAAAATAATTATCACTATTACTCAGGCACTGAAATTTTAAGAAATAAGCGTAATTGGAAAATAAAAGAATGTGTACAATTACAGGTCTACATCATGTAGAGACATCAGCAAAAAGTGGTTTAAACGTTGAAGAGGCCTTTGTACTTGTTGCTCAAGAGGTGTACAACCGCATACAAACAGGTGAATATAAAGTGGAAGACGGCTGGGACGGTATAAAGACTGGTTTCAACCGGCCCAACGGTATGGATTTCAATTTGTTAGAAGCGGAAACTGTCCAGTCCACTTGCTGTTAGATAATAAATTATTGTGTACATATTCGACTCACGGCTAGTATGAAATATTTAAGAGTAATTTTATATAAATGTAGTTAAGGAGCAGATGCAGTTAAACTCTTTTTATTCATTGAAACATTTTCTCCCTGTATAACGATACTTGGTAATAAGAGTGCTTTTGTATATTATAGCACAACAGTGTACAATTTTGCTGCCATGATATAATAAGGATGTATATATAACTACTTGTTTATCTCTATAGAAATGCACAATATAGTCATAATATAATAATAATAAATATTATGTATTTCAAACAATTAATGCCTATATTAGAATGCCTAGTCATATTAATATATATATACATTAATATAAATGTATAAAAATTCTTTATCACAATGTTTGTTTATGCTAATCTTCGAAACTCTACCAATTTTGATGAAGTTTTGTAAATTTGTATTGTTTGTTCTAAATTGAAATATAGGATAATAAGAGAAATAGACTTAGTAGGAGGTAAAACAACATTTGCTATTTCAACTAGTTAAATGTATAAAAAATATCCTTAATAGAACGAATAGTTGTGTAACATATTTTGAATCCCTATTATATCATGGTGATAAGATGGCACCATCCCATGCTGTGCTATAGCAAATTATAAAAGTACTTATTACTAAAAACTTACTTAACAATCATAAGGGAGCAAAAATCTAATAAATCTAACTTAATATATTTTGTCTCTTCCTTGATAAAAAAAAAAAAAAATTTGAAAGAGTACAGAGCTCACAAATAGTTTAGGTTTATTGGCATTACTATGTTTTTATGAATAATACGATATATAAGTATACTGGGTTATTTTAAATTGTCTGACATGTCCTGTAGAATAGTTTGTTATTGTTGCTTGTTATTTTTTTTTTTAAGAAGTACCATTATGTGAATGGTCCTATGCCATTGTATTATGGTAATTCATGGGGTTTTTTGTTATCACATTACTCAGTAAGTACGTTAGATGTTAGAAATAATATGTAGTTAATTCAAACTAACTCAGTATACATTGCACTGTTTATTAAGGCCTGATGCTTGTGTCATAAAGCATTTGTGTTTAACAGAAAGGTACACAACCCACAAAATGATAAAAATGAGACGATAATACCATAATAGTGTATGAAATGTCTACATCATTTTGCTAACAGAAACTCATTTTTAAACTTTTCTGACATAACTCCTTTCTGTTGAACTGTGTTCATTTTAAAATTGACTTCAGTAAAATTTGACTATATTTAATTTTTTTTGTTTTGTATGTTGACATACCTTTACTGTATTTATATTTACATTTCTGATTTTAATTTATATTTTTAATATAATATGTTTGTGATGTGTAAGAAAAAAATACACTAAATGGGTGTATTTACATAGCTATGATCTAAACTAGTCATATGACGGTGAGTTTATTTATTGGGTATCCATTCCAGTGATTGTATAACCACTGGATATACCCAATTGTGATCATCATATTGTATGACAGTAAAATTATTTATTGGATTTCACAATAACTGCATAATAATGGCAAATACCAAAACCTCAAAGGCAATAGAGGTACCATGGGTAAACACTTGTTACCACCCTCTATTAGGTGGGTTGGTTTAATTTCCCATTTGGTTGTTTACCATACCTTTGGTATGGTACATAAAGAACTTTATTTAAATAAAAAATAATAATGTCAATTAAACTATGTTACAAATATGTGAATTATTTTGTTATCAAAACATTGAATGATGCAGATTTGTAATGGCATGATCATCAGCACCTTAATGTACTTCTATTTAATGATGTAACATGTTCAATAAGTTAAAATTAATTATAATAATGAATTAAATACTCTATAATCTGGCCATAAATTAAATTTGTATTGAAACTAGGTTTTCTATTGACCATTGTTTGAGGTGGGTTTACAAAATGACGTCTAGGATGGGAGTTTGGGTATCGATTTTTTTTTTTTCGTTTATAAAAATTTAAGAGTAGACCCGTACTGCGAGTTTTCATCACACTTTTTTTTATACTGCATCATTTTTGCTAAATTTTTTAACTGCGATCGCGTACAGTTTCATACAATTTTCATACTAATGTTTCTTTAAAATTTTACGTCAAAAATTGCGTATTTACTATTTTGCCATATTTATTTGAGACGCTTATATGAGTCACATTAGATTAACCACTTTGATACGATTTTTTTCGTTTTTTATAGTGTAGAATACCAAATTTTTCCTTTTGAATTAATTTTGTATTACAATATTGTTATTTAGCATCTGTTAGCTCCTTTCATATCTGTTGAAATCTGACCGTTTTTTGGGCACAATTTACCTTATTACTAAGTGCACATCAGTAAGCGCGTGGTAAAAATTCGCAGTTCGGGTGTAATTATACTCTACTATAAGTACTTGAAATAATATTGTATGATCAAAAAAAAGGTTTTTACTAAGAGAAAATTGGAATAATTTCCCAACTTTTTATACGGGAATGTTTTTATAAAAAGAAAAAAAATAATAAACCTATTTACTTATTATGTAATACAATATAAAAACTGTTACCTATTTGTCTGTCAACCTCTTATTGATTCTATCTGATACGATATAGCGTAGAGACCAAAGAATTGAACATGAAATAATTTAATCTGATATAATTTGTGAATATTCACTTCAATTTGTCCTAATTGTCCACTAACATTGTTAACCTAACATTAAGTTAAATATTGTACCTGCAATAGCATGCATACCACATGCATAATGTAATGAATAAAGTTGATTAATTATTATTAGCCTCATTTTTAATCTGCCCCCATTTGCTTAGTCCAATGAACAGAGAAAAGATGAAAAGATATAGCGTTTAATGACGATATAAATGATCATATGATATCTAAAAGTACTTTTATCTTTTTGCAAACAAAACTAGGTACCTACTTGAATCGTAACAAAACACTATTAAAAAGAGACGTTTAGTAAACACATTAGATCAGATTAGATTAAACATATTAGATAGATAGATATTGGAGATTTTTTTAAAAGAAAAATGACGCTTTCAATATTGGATTAACGAAGTGCAGTCCACCCCAGGCCTCTAATCCTGGGGGCCCCCAAACACCTTCATGTGGGGAGAAGGAATTATTAGTAATGGGGTCTAACTGCCTCATTGCTAGCAATGTATTCTATTAGGTTGACCTCCACGTGGTACCACTAGAAGTCGTGGTTAATTTATTATTGAATTTGTCACGATGAGTCAACTGATTTGCTTTCATCGTCACCTATCATCCCTCACTGGTGCCCTACTAGCATATAGCATTTACCAGAGGGAGACTTTGTACAAAAGTCGATTGTTTGGATACCTCTGTCCCATTCCTGTTTCTACCGTGAAGCAGTTGTGTTTGCATGGCTGTGTTTCGGTTTGAAGGGTGGGATATGGGATGAATTTACTGGGTACAGAGGAATAACACCTGAGTCCTCAGGAATGGCAACGCATGGAGGGTATCATGGGCGAAACAATATAGTCTGTTATGTCCATGGTACTGCTCATGTCTATAGGCGATGGTTATTACTACTTTCCATCAGGTGGACCGTCAGCTTGTTTGCCATTCTAAGTTGTATAAAAAAATACCGATAGCGCAGGCGGGGTCACTATTTCATTTTCACCCATTAAAAAAATATAAATAAAAACACATACATACAAATGTGAACTGAATAAAAAGCTTGTAAAATTACATATTTTTTTTAAACTGGACGCTTTTAACCGTAAAATATTATAATAAGAAGAAAAATTCCGTTTGGTTGTCGAATAAAAAGAAGTGTGACTGATTGTTCAGTGAAAGATGAGATAGGTACTGTACCAAATATACTAAAAAAAAGGCTAGCTAGCCTAGGCACTGGTTTTTATTTTTATATGGGAAAATGTAATGGTAGCCCCTCCTGCACTGTCTATATATGCTAGCGGCTAGATAAAGGGTCTCCATACAAATACTTAGAGAAAACGGGTCTTTTTCATAGAATTTTGCGTGATAAATAATTATGAGTGATTCCTTTATAACTTCTATATTTATTTTATTTTATAATTTTTACGTCTTTTGAATGCGTAAAACTTCATTTTATTAATTAAATATGGCATATAAGCGTCAAGATACATTATGTTTGTAACTATATAGAACACTGATGAAAAAACGAGTCAGCTAATTTGACAATTAGCTGACAAAAAGTTAACCCGTTTTTAAGACTCGATGCTTTATCTATATGTAATTTAAAGCTGGCGGTTTACCAATGAAGGATGATAGGATAAGATGAAATCGAGTTAGTCGACGCATCATAACGAATTTACTAGGAATTAACCTCGATAATTTTCAGGGGACTACGTAGAGATCAGTCGGGATACTGCTTGTAATGGGGACACTAGTCCCCGTTACTGACAATTCCCTCCTACTAGGCATAGATTATGTACATACCAACTTAACATTTCTGTGCTCATCTTATGCTAGTTTTTTTTGTATGCTATTAATTATTAGATATATTATTATTATTGTTTATATTAAATATAGATACAGTTTCAAAGGAATTTTCTGCCGCGAGCTCTCAGGCTGTGAAATGAGCTCTCTGCCGAGGTTTTCCCTAGAGACTACAGTATGGGATTCTTCAAAAAAGCTATATTAAGGTTTCTTTAGGCGCACGTGATACACCTACTGTAGCAGACGTCCATAGACTACAGTTTTTTTTATTGGATGATAATGGAATAGTAAACCCGCCCGCGCTAACGGTACACACTAGCGGGGCACCAGTCAAGGATGATACGTAAGGTTGAAAGCAAGTCAGTTAGCCCATACTGATGAATTCATAAAAAAACAAGATGGTTTCCAGGGGGAACCGCATTGAGGTCGATCTGATAAGGTATATTGTTAGCAATGGGGCATCTAATCCCATTACTGACAATCCCTTTCCCTCATAGACTACAGTGACCGTTTACCATCAGAGGGGCTGTACGTTTGTGTGCCTTCGGGGTATAAAAAAAAAATTATTGTTATTGTAACCTTGATATGTCACGGTATTAATTATTATGATAGTAATGGCGGAAGTAACCGCCTTTCACCGTTCTCGTAATCAAAGATGTAAGTAATACATACATACATTCAATGTATTTTAGCTCAGATACCAGCATTAGATAATCGCTTGTAATGCAATAGGTGTGGTCGTAATTTATTTAGTCAACTAAGCGTTAACAAAAGATTTTTTATGATAATTATTCTGATATTAAATATTATATATAATTTTTTTTTTCTCCTACATTCTTCACGGCTCTGGAAAGCGCTTCCTGATACCGTTAAGAGACTACCGACTTAATTGTCTTTAAAAAAAAAATATGCACACTTTTTTACTTTATCCGAGTAGTATTTTTTTTTATACAACATAGAATGGCAAACAAGCTGACGGCCCACCTGATGGAAAGTGGTAACCGTCGCCTATAGACATGAGCAATACCATGGACATAACAGAGTATACTGTTTCGCCCATGACACCCCCCATGTATTGCCATTCCTGAGGACTCAGATGTTATTCCTCTGTACCCTGTAAATTCACGCCATATCCCACCCTTCAAACCGAAACACAGCCATGCAAACACAACTGCTTCACGGTGGAAACACGAATGGGACAGAGGTACCCAAGCAAATCGACTTTCAATTTCGTGTATATTATAGTATATTTTATATATGTGTAAATATATTTGTTATTTATATATATTTATTCGTTTATATATGTAATTTTAGCATGTATTTATATCAATAATTAGTAGTACTGCATTCGAGTATTCTGACACTTCCCTACGGTTGACTGGGAGACTTTTAGCATTAAGTCCGCCATGTACACATATATGTACTAATGAATAAATATTTATTTTCTAGCCATAAAAGTAAATTATGCTGTTAAATACAATATTTCACAGTTGCTATGAAAATATAAAAGTAGAATGGTTGCCTCTCTGAGTCACAGGTGTACAATGGCTGGGTACCAGTGAGTAATAAAGATGCAGTCAGTTTAGTTGACCCGTAGTAAAGAAATTAACCACGATGGTTTCCAAAGCGAACCACGCGGGGGTCCACCTGACAAGGTATAATGCTAGCGATGATGTCGATAGTCTCTTACTAACATTCCTCCTTCCCCCAATCCCCGGTACAGCAGTTTGGGGATTTCATAAAATAGAGTCAACCTTTATTATTAAGATTGTGTTTCACAACAAAAACCAACTTCAATTGTGGCAAAACCAGCTTTTTCAACTTAAAAACTAAACTACTAAACCGATTTTGTTAAATATTCTATGGGACCAATGTATAAGTATTGTTATATCTTTTCAGATAAAAAAAATCAAATTGATTTACAATTAACAAGTAGTAACAATTATAAAAAAAAAATACAAAGAAATTGACCACCTTCTTAATCTGTTGAAAATTACCCCAAGAACGAAAAATAGGCTAGCTCGGGTGAAACGGGGGGAAAAAATTAATCTTAAAAAGATTATGCAAACTGTATTCGTGACCCTGTTACGATAGGGGAAAGAGATTGTTAGTAATGGAGACTAAAAATCCCATTGCTAGCAATATACACAACCACGTCGACCTCCTCGTGTTTGCCCTGGAAACTATCATGGTTAATTCCTGTTGAATTCATCATGATGGGCTAACTGACCTGTTTTCATTCTCATCTATCACCCTTCACTGGTGCTCCGCAAGGGTATACCGTTAGCACAGGTGGGGTTACCATACCATTTTCACCCATAAAAAAAGACCCTTTTACGATTATCTGACTATATAGAGTTAAGAACTTATATATGCCTAAACTTATTATTACAAACGTCTCTCAGATAATCAGAGTCGAAATTCACTCAGGCAGATTCGATCTTATCCGATTATAACAAATGTAGATAACGCGACCTGGTTGGTACTTGATTGTTTTAAATTTAATAATCTAGTAATCAACGTTCTACATAATTATTAATGCGTAAATGAATTTTTCCAAAATTGTATATATTAATAGGTATATACATAATCTGTGGCACTCTTAGTGTTGCCAAATTTGATATATTAGCTTTTTGACAGGACGTTACATCAGTATTGCAAGATTAAATATTTTTCTTAATTATGGATAAAAAGTTGTATCTTAGAGAAATTTTACAATAAGATGGAAATTGCTATAGAAACTTTGAGTAGTAATTTTGAGTAATAGAAAGTTCTTTATTATTTGTAGTAGTGACTATTACTTGATAAAAGGTAATGAAAATAAAAGCCTTTATAATTAGGCAAAAAAATGTCATAATCGATGGAAGAAAAGCACTTGAATTTGGGGAAAAATTAAAATTGCATCTGGCAAAACTGATTTGACATGTCAATATATATTAATTACATTTTGATCCAATTTAATTCGTTTTTATTAAAAGATTCTTCAATTACATACGTTACTGTGGTATAAACAAATGTTTTCTTTCATAAATTGAAATTGTGTATTTATTTAGCAATTTACGTGCTTTTCTGCCTATTAAAAGTCACGTCGAATGATCTTAGACATGTCATCGAGTCGGTCGAAATCATCAATTCTCGATAAACCTTTGAGTAAAGGAAAAGGCGAAATTTCGTTAGCAGTTTACGCACTGTTATTTTCTGAAATTGTCCAATACTGTCAAAATCGTTCCCAGTCTATCCATGAGCTACAAAATAAGTAAGATAATTTTTAATTACAAGAATAAATACAAGTAACAAACTACAATTGGGCATCATGTATAGTAAATGAAAACTCTAACAAAATTTTTATTGCAGATTATCTGAAATTGGTCAAGATGTGGGTACTAGACTGTTAGATCTATACTTTACTCGAGAAAAAAACAGCAAACGTGAAATAAAGGTGTTAAACTTGCTTTTATTTGTGAAAACTGCACTTTGGAAGGTGGGTTCTATATCATAAAAAAATATAAAAGGAAGATAAAGATATATTTATTTAACAAAGTATGTTTGTATTAGCACAGAATTTATCATTGCTTCCTACACTAGGCTGAGCTAAAACGGTTAAGCAATGCGACTTTTATGATTAAAAAATGACGGATGTATTACTTATTTTACATTTCTACTCATGTTTAATATATTTACAATGGATAATCCATATTTGCTTTATTTTTATTTTATGCAAACAAAATAAACTTAGAATGGCAAACAAATTGACGGCCCACCTGATGGAAAGTGGTAATTGTCACCTATAGTATATTTACAGAGTTTATGTACCCATATGTGCTACATAAACCCTTAATTAATTGAAATATATGAGATTGATCATATTCACATTGCTATAATTTAAAATTTATATTATATTCTTAAAAATTATTCATTAGCAATTTTTTTTTGCATAGACATTATATTTCAGATTATTAAAGTTAAGAATAGAAAGTGATATTAAAATATATATATTATGCAGAATAAAATGTTACTGTAAATCTTACTTAGCAACAAAATGGTCATAGATAAGACAGATAATGTGAAGGTTGTATATTTATAACAGGTACATCTAACAGAGACTAAGCAAAAGTATTCATCTTTGGAAAATATGTGACTTGTAAAAAATGCAGGGCCTTGCTTCAGATGCCTGCATATTATGCATACAACAAAAGGATATTATAGCATACTTACATATCTGTTACACCTATCTCCTATTCGTGTTACAACCGTGAAGCAGTTGTTTGCATGCCTGTGTTTCGGTTTGAAGGGTGGGATATGGTGTGAATTTACTGGGTACAGAGGAATAACACCTGAGTCCTCAGGAATGGCAACGCATGGGGGGTATCATGGGCGAAACAGTATACTCTGTTATTTTCATGGTACTGCTCATGTCTATAGGCGACGGTTAACATTTTCCATCAGCTTCATCCATCATTTCCATCATCGTCAGCTTGTTTGCCATTCTAAGTTGTATAAAAAAAAAACTGATTCAAGTAGACATTTTTCACCTTCTCCGTATTCATCAATTGTTTTATACATACTTGCCAGTTATAGGTAACTACTTTTAATTAGGCCCTTCTTAAATATATTGTCTATTTGGTCAACATATGTCCATCTGGGGTGGACCCTACCAACATCTCCATTTATCATGCTCAATAAATCTCTTTTATAATTCTTCACTTCTTTCTATTCACTCTATTTTTAATGTGATAGCACACATACTTCTCAGAATTCTCTGCAGCATTTATCCTGCTTTCATACTTATTTCTGTCATCCCCTGATTAGCTTATTATAAATGTAGCTCAATCTTATTATAAATGTTGCAGCATATGATGACCCATTATGCCACAACATAAGAAACCTTAATATACCCTTTTTGAAAAATATTAATGTAATAAATGTTTAAATCTTATTTATTTTTGAACTGCAGGCCTTGTATGGTAAAGAAGCTGATAAATTGGAACATGCAAATGAAGACGACAAGACATACTATATCATTGAAAAGGATGCTCTAGTAAGTTATTTGTTGTTATAATTTAAGATTGAGTTCCACAAAAAAAAAAGAAATGTAGCAAAACCTGACAAACTTCTGAGCCAATTTGTATTAAATTTCTATTCCTGTCAGATAAAAAACCAAATTCTTTAATACTGATCTGGTAACATAAAATATATAACTGAATAATACTTCCTTTTTTAAATTGGTAAAACTAAAAATTACATTGATACATATAATGATCTTTTGGTGAAATCACTTAGATGTCTCTTATCATAATGCTAAACAAATTTGGATGATCTTTAGAACGGATTATTTTCTGGAAATACAAAATTATTATTGCATGTACAATGAGTTTTATATTAAATACGTAATTTTATTAAATAGGTAATTTTTTTATGTAATGTATTTTTCCCACCATTCTTCACTTTCTGTTTTTATCTAATGGTTAACTGGTAGAGAATAACCATAGGGCAATAACCTTGCTCGCTATTTGTACAAATTTTATTGTGCAATAAAGAATAAATAAACTATATGCTAACAATCAACAATTATAAAAAAAAAAAATATTTTTCAGGTTAACAAATTCATAAGTGTACCAAAAGACAAGGGCTCGCTCAACTGTGCCACATTCAATGCGGGCATTATAGAAGCAGTACTCACTAAGGGTGGTTTTGTAAGTATTTATAAATCCTAAATGTTTCATTTTGGATAAACAGAAAGATAAAATAAAGTGCCAAACCATTAATCTGGTCATGCAAGTTAGGATAAAATTGTATGAAATAGATTATTTATACAATATTTATTTTCGCCATGTGGTCCCGGTATAGAATGAACCACCCCTTCCTTTCCCATGGGTGTTATAAGAGGCGACTAAGAGAATGTATTAGTTGAAGAATGGGCAGCAGCGTCCCTCCGAAAACATGACTAACCTGTGATTGCCAGCCCGCCTGTCAAGCGTGGCAGCTGCTAGCAAAACTCCCCAAGGGGAGGTCTACGTTCAGGAGTGGATGAGTCTAACTTAAAATCTAGGTATATGCTTTATCTTGATATACCATTTAGAAGTGTCTATTTCATTGTTTTTTTTTTTTTTTTTTTTTTGCATAAAATAGTAAACAAGTTGACATCGCCTGATGGAAAGTGGAAATCGTCACCTATGATTTTCCTATTTCTGAAATCCACACTTAATATGTAGCAGGCAAAAAGTGGAGATTTATATATATATAGAGTTCTACTGATGACCACCCGTTGCGATATCGCCTATACCAGTCTGATATTAAGAGCGGGTTCATTATTGCAATATTATATATTGGATAATTGATATCTTACTACATTTGGGGGGAAGAGATTGTTAGTAATGGAAAGGTCAATCCTCATTGCTATCAATATACCTTATCAGGTCGGCCTCCACGCGGTTCCCCCTGGAAACCGTCTTGACTAATTTATCGTTGAATTTATCAGGATGAGCTAACTGACCTGTCTTTTCATCGTCACCTATCATCCCTCACTGGTGCCCCGCCAGTGTATACCGATAGCGCAGGCGGGGCTACCATTCCATTATCATCCATAATATATATATATTAAATTAAATAGTATTAAATAAATCTTTATACTATAATTATTATAAAGTGTCCCATTTTCTTTTTCAGCCTGCTAAAGTTACAGCTCACTGGCACAAAGGCACCACATACATGATTAAATTCGAAGATTTCGTTATAATCAGAGATAAATCTCTTGATGATCGTTAAAATCCCGTTCTAATACCTAATTACTATATTTAATAAAATGTGCTCATATACGATTTGTTTGAAATTGCTTTGTATATAGTTATGTATGTCAATGCATGTATGTTTAATTTACATTAATAATATTCGATAAGTACTGAAATATTTTGTATTTTTTTATACAGTATTATAAGCCTAAAATAAGTACAAATACTCTATCACTCTGTTAGCAAAATAACAATCTGAATAAACCTAGCAAAAAAAAATTGAGTCATAAAAAAGAGATGATTGGGGGGAAAGGGATTGTTAGTAATGGAGACTGAGAATCCCATTGCTAGCAATATACCCAACCAGGTCGACCTCCTCGCAGTTCTCCCTGGAAACTATCATGGTTAATTCCTGATGAATTCATCATGATGGGTTAACTGACCTGTTTTCATTCTCATCTATCACCCTTCACTGGTGCTCCGCCAGCGTATCCCGTTAGCGCAGGCGGAGTTACCATACCATTTTCACCCATCAAAAAAAAAAAGAGATGATTCAAAAGGGCTTGTAAACGATTTATATAAAAATGTGGTCACACATTTAATTTTTTTTTTATTTGTAATTAAATTAGGTATTTGTTTTTCTTTTTATTTATAATTAGTAATAATAATAAAGTTTATAATCATTATGAGGATAAATATGGGCTTCTAGAGTTAAAATTAACTCTAACATATGGCTGAAATTTGTACGCCAAAATAAACGGCACATCACAGTGTCGCAGGAGGCCTGTGGGCTTAGAGACAGGTGTCAGTCGTAGGGTTTGGGCACTACAATGTCACACTACTCTGCACTGACCCTCTTATATTATTGGAATTTAAACATTCTGTCACGATATCTCACTTTGCCGCAACGGCAATCCTTTTCAAATGTACTTCGCTTATCCCAAACTAAATATCCGTATAAAAAAAAGGGAGCCAAATATAGCAACGCCTTCCAGACTGTTCCTGTATTCGCTTGAAAAGTATCAAATTGACAGGTTTTCATTGAAATAAATCGCTGAACTGCTGGGTCAAACTGTAATGAAACAATTCATAGAATATCAAAATAAATATGGTGATAAACTAGTGACCAGACGAAGTCTTTTCTGTAAAAAGATACTGAACTGTGGCAATCCTAGCAATGGTTTTTAAGTTTTTCTAGGCTAATTTTCATAGCAATCTTCCTTTCACTTATTTAGAAATAAAACACCAAATTGGTTCAGCTATTTTCAAGTTTTGTTCTTAATAACACATTTGCTGTGTGGTCCCGGTATAGAACGGGCCACCTCTTCTTTTCTCGTGAATGTCATATGAGGCAATTAGGGGAACTTAAAGGTTGAGGAATGGGCAATAACATCACTCTTGAAACATCAACAAAATGTAACTGTAATTGCTTATCATAGAAACTATTGGCACCCCCCCCCCCCCCCTCTTCACCAACAGGGGAGTCCTATGTTCAGCACTGGGCAGTTAATGGCTGATAATGATGAATAATGATGATAGCTACATTAGAATTTGAGTTTTAAAATATAAGGTTTTATGACTCTAGACAATGGGGTTGATTAAGACATGGTTTAGAGACCTTTTACATTAATATTTTGATAATATCTACAAAATAAAATTTTATTGACCATCATAATCTTATAAAAATTTGAAGTCAAAATTTTTAATTTATTTGGTAATTTATTACATATTGGTCCTTAAAGATTTTGCTGCAATATCAAATTGAAATTTTATTTTAAAGATAGGTCTAGAAATGGTATCTAAGAATTAGCCCCATTGAATACTGCCTCAGAAATTTAAAATATCAATATAGAATGACAAAACAATGGTAAAATTCAGTTCTTGTACAACATGGCCAGCTTGATACTTACAACATGACCAGCTTGTTGAGTATGTTTACATGGATCTGTTCTTTGTTTCAGAAATTCACGTCTGTATTTCGCCCGTTTTTCAATTTGGTCCAAAATTATTTTACACTCAATCTCTGAAAAGCCATATGAAGACATTGCTGCTTCCTTGTAGTTACAATATGCACATATTAATAATAGTGTCAGTGTCAAAGATATTGACAAAAAAGGTGGTTAAAAAGTGAAACTTTTTTTTAAAAAGCTAAGTATTCAGCTAGTATTATTTAAAGATACCAGGGAATAAAGTTAAAATAAAATAATCAAATTTATTTGTTATTATTAATTTATTTTGCTATTCACAATATATACTACAGAGCATGCATGTGTTTATATACAAAATTATGCAAATTTGAACATTCTATCTCTGTACCGAAGTTCACCAGACCTTATTTTCTGTTCTGTCTTATTGCGATCATTCCAGACGATGTATCCGTAAGCTACCATAGGAATAATTACAGCACAAATTCCAAATAAACTGGTCCGTGGGTTTGGTGTAAAATTATCAAATTGAGTGACCTTCATGGACATAAATTTCTGAACAGCTGGATCAAACTACAACAATAGTAAATTTTAAAAATTGTTATTACTTTATTATTTGTTTTGTTTATTTAATAATGAAGATTAGATACTATAATTACGTAATGAAATAATACTCACAACATAGCCTGATTCTGCGGCATGTTTCCATGGATTGGTGCGTTGCTTTATAAATTCTTTACGCAACTCAGCACGCCGTGATGCTTGCTGTTTAATAAGGTTGAATTCAGCATCTGATATTCCATAATTATTGGCCATTTCGACCAAAATTCAAAATTGGAATAAGTGTAATCACTAAGCAGTAAAAAATAATAAGTTTGACGTTTTATGGTTTCACAAAGTTACCCGTTACAATATCACGAAATTGTCATTACGGATTGATCTTAGATAAATAACTCAATGTATAATAGAGTCCGTAAATGCTTACAATCTGTCTCTCATAATTGTAGTTCTGTGAATGATAGCAAAGATAATATAGAATTATAGAAGCAGAAATCTTTTCCGGATAGGGATGCGCAAAAGACACTAATGATATTTAAAGTAATTTAATAAATTGAAGATTAAACCTTACATAATTTTACCAAAATAATGATTTTTAGCCTCATATTTAAATTCATTTTAGAATAATTTTCTTACAATGTACAAACAGATAATTATATAATGTTTTTGGGAAAAGTAAGCTTTAATAAATAACATGATGACAATTCAGCTTGATTTTTAAAAATAACTATGTATTGTATAATAACTAATATGTATTGGTAAATATATAAGGTGCTATCAAATTATCTGCATTCCGTTAAAAGGAGTATTACATATATATGTTATGATATGATGATGATGATAATGATAGAATTTCATATATTTTGATATATTTGATATATGTTATAAAACATTTTATACAAAAATTATTCTTAATAAATGCAAATTTTCTACTCTGTATAAAAATGCCTTTAAGAAAGCAAAGTTACCGTTTTAATTATAGCTGACACAGTAACTATAAGAGCTCAATGAACAACCTTAGAAACACTGTTATTAACTGGAAAATTAAAAAATGTATTTAATCTGATAACTATTACTGGTCATCGCGTAACACTAGCCTATGAACAATAATAACAAAGCTATCATGCGAACGCTGCATTTTTATTGGCATTATGATTATTAAGTAATCCACGTAAATTCTTTGTAATCATAGCTGCAAAATAAATACATACAGTTCGCCCAAAGATACTTAACGCGATTTGTAACGTACTGTATTTAGTTCGTATGTCATAAGTATCATAAAATCATTACATATAACTACACATAAACCTAGCCATTCCTCATAAATAAAATGGTACATTAAACAAAACTATCTCAATTATATTATAAGACATGGTAGTGCCATATCAAACACAGCTACATATATCATCCTCTTCTCAAAGCGAACTCTTGTTTATTAATTGTAATACTTTAAAGATGAAAATAAAAATAAAAATAGATACATTTATAAAAAGATTATTATGTTTATTTAAAATTAAAATTTATATTTTCAAAAAGACGCGTAGATCATTGGTCACTTATTAGACCACAAGTTTTACTTTACAGCTGTAGAGGGTCACAGTGAAAGATAATATTCTTTAGAACAACAATATATATATAACAACATTATCGACAGCAGATCCTCGTGTATCGTCACACTCATATCTCCCAGCTTATCTACAGCATCAAAAAATCCATTCAAGTGGTCTTGCAAGTCATCGGCTTCATTCATTTTATGTAAAGTGAGTCGTTTTAGTAAGGTTGCCTTTTTTGCTGGACCTTTCGAAGCATATAATGACTCTAATTTCATCCATACTTCGCGTGAATTTGTGCACCCTTTTACGTGCCGCAGTTCGCTACTGCTCATGGATAAAATTATATCCGAACGTGCTTTTTCATCTTCTGCTTCCCATTTTTCCAATTCTGTTACATCGGTCGGTCTTGGCTTACGACCACTAACATAGGACCAGGCCTCATTCTTTATGAGTAGTGCCTGTGCATGAATCCTCCAACTATCGTAATTCTCACGATTAAGAGGTTCAAATCTTATACTCGAACTCGACATTGTCTTTTGTAAAAAATTACAAACTTACCGAATTATCACTTATTATATATAGTTCTTTACTTTGTCTCACTTATTGTGCTGGGCCCATAACCATTGTAGAGGGTCACAGTGAAAGATAATATTCTTTAGAACAACAATATATATATAACAACATTATCGACAGCAGATCCTCGTGTATCGTCACACTCATATCTCCCAGCTTATCTACAGCATCAAAAAATCCATTCAAGTGGTCTTGCAAGTCATCGGCTTCATTCATTTTATGTAAAGTGAGTCGTTTTAGTAAGGTTGCCTTTTTTGCTGGACCTTTCGAAGCATATAATGACTCTAATTTCATCCATACTTCGCGTGAATTTGTGAAAATTCCAGGTATACCACGAGCGGCAAACTTATCCTTATTTTGATCTTTGTTTAAAATGTACACGTTACTTCCAAACTTGCGCATGTAATTAATTTTAATTGGTCTCTCATGCCATTTTTCATAGGGGATGTCTCCCCCTAAACTACTGGTAGGACAACGATTTCTTATGTAACAAGCTGTGTCGACAGCTTCTGCCCAGAAACCTGTGGATAATCCCGAAGAAAGTAACATACAACGCGCCATTTCAACGATTGTACGATTCATCCTCTCAGCGATCCCGTGGATGAATCGTACAATCGTTGAAATGGCGCGTTGTATGTTACTTTCTTCGGGATTATCCACAGGTTTCTGGGCAGAAGCTGTCGACACAGCTTGTTACATAAGAAATCGTTGTCCTACCAGTAGTTTAGGGGGAGACATCCCCTATGAAAAATGGCATGAGAGACCAATTAAAATTAATTACATGCGCAAGTTTGGAAGTAACGTGTACATTTTAAACAAAGATCAAAATAAGGATAAGTTTGCCGCTCGTGGTATACCTGGAATTTTCACAAATTCACGCGAAGTATGGATGAAATTAGAGTCATTATATGCTTCGAAAGGTCCAGCAAAAAAGGCAACCTTACTAAAACGACTCACTTTACATAAAATGAATGAAGCCGATGACTTGCAAGACCACTTGAATGGATTTTTTGTCTTGTATCTACATGTATTATATATATATTGTTGTTCTAAAGAATATTATCTTTCACTGTGACCCTCTACAACAGCTTCAGTAATTCATTATTTATGGAATAAAATATAATTATCTGAAAGTTTTTAAATTTCTAAGTAATTTATTTGTTGTTACTACAATAGATTCAAATCGAATCAGTCTTATTTTGTTCTCGATTACTAAATCGATTACTTAAACATTAAATCGATTCTTTATTAAGAATAAAGATAGTCAACTCTATTTCCGGTCACCATCTTTTGGTTTTACTTGTTGTCGTTGTCAGATCGGCTGTATTTGTAAAAAGCCGTAACCATGGGTCGTATGCACGCACCTGGGTAATTTTATTGTGTTAATATGTCCATGAAATGTGCTACTATCGTTTTGGTGTTAATTTTGTTAGAAGCTCTCGACAATTCCGCTTCATAGTTACCTAACCTATCTGCGAAAATTGACCACATGGCTATGTTCTGAATTCATTTTTATTATTTCAGTAAGGGTATTTCCCAGTCGGCCTTGCCGTACCGTCGCAGTGTGCCAACCTGGCTGAAACTGACCGCTGATGATGTCAAGGAACAAATATACAAACTCGGTAAAAAGGGCCTCACTCCCTCCCAAATTGGTATGTATAGTTACTATACCTTTGACATTAAATCTAAAACGCTAATCGCTTTATTCATAAAAATTAACCCTTTATAAGCTCTCTATAACAAGAAAACAACATGATTATAAAAATATGCATTATAACTGCAACAACTTTAAAACCAATGTCATAGATGATTTACACACCTATCATAAACCTATAATAGCAAAAAGTATTATTTATAAACGTTCTATAGCAAAACAGTAAGGTGAAAACGTCAAATAGTTGTCCTATATAGTTATAATGGATTAATTCTTACTATAAGAACATTTTAACTTCAAACTTATTAGCAATAAAATAATATTTTGTGCATATCTGAAATCAAAAACATATCGAAAATCTCCATTTTTTATGATCTTAAATATGAATCAGTTGAAAATCTATGATTATTTGTGAAGAATCGAATTATTATAATATGTACACCCATCCTAAAAATGTGTTTAGGCAATATTGTATTTGCTTAACCTAGTGCATGTCCATTAATATTTTGGTGTGTATATATTAATATACAAATTTGGTGTGTATATAACACACCAATATATAATGATTAAACTGAGGGGGAAAGGGATTGTTAATAATAGAGACTGAGAATCCCATTGCTAGCAATATACCCAAACAGGTCAACCTCCTTGCAGTTCTCCCTGAAAACTATAATGGTAAATTCCTGATGATTCATCATGATGGGCTAACTAGCCTGTTTTCATTCTCATCAATCACCCTTCCCTGGTGCTCTGCCAGTATATCCTGTTAGCGCAGGCGGGGTTACCATATCATTTTCATCCATAAAAAAATTATTAAACCAATATTTAATTAAAATAAGAATTATTATATTTTTGTAATATTTACAACAATAAATATATAATAGTAGGAGCAGTGTATTTATCAAGATTTTTATGCAAATTACACAATATTTTTAATCTTTATTTTTTTAAATAGAAATAATAATGACATGGTCATAAAATACTTATATTGTGGTTATCTTCCATGCGAAAACTACTAAAGGGAATTGCATTTAATTTGGTGCATGGATAGGATGTATCCTATCTTTGCTCTCTACATTTAAGAGTTTCTTCTTATCTATGCAACTAAGTCTATTCTAACTTAGTACATAATAGTTTTTTTTTTTTAATTATAATTTTTATATTTCAGTATTGTCTTCCAATGACAACTATATAAACAAAAAAAAATTTTTTCCATATTTCAGGTGTCATGCTCAGGGATTCTCATGGAGTGGCCCAAGTCAGATTTGTCACAGGCAAAAAAATCCTCAGAATCATGAAAGCCATGGGTCTTGCTCCAGATCTACCAGAAGATCTATACTACTTGATCAAGAAGGCTGTAGCCATGAGGAAACATTTGGAACGCAACAGGAAAGATAAGGACAGCAAATTTAGGCTGATTCTTGTTGAGTCGAGGATCCACAGGCTAGCCCGCTACTATAAAACAAAGAGTGTGCTCCCTCCCAATTGGAAGTATGAATCGAGCACCGCCTCAGCCCTCGTGGCTTAAGTTTAAATAAAACTAATCTGAAACTATTACTTTGTTTTAATTTACATCTAATATTTTTTTAATTAAGTTTTGTTGTTTGTATTATTTTAAGACATACTAAGGTTGAAAGGACTGGAGGACTCATAAATGACAGTATAATCATTAAGAGATAATTATAAAACATAAGGTACAGAAAAATAGGTATGGTACTCTCATATAAGAAATTAAATCTAGGATAAGACACCTTTGATGAAAAGTTACACATTCAGGAAGACAACTGTGAGATTTGCTTTCAATTTGGTTCATTTTTTGTTTGATGCCAGTACAAATACAAAATTTCTAAGAATACTGTTTTGGCTTTTGTTACTCTTACTAAGACCACTTATATTTTTTTTTAATGTCTTCCAAGTACAAATATTGTCTATTTACGATTTTATATATAAGCAACTCAATTGAACCATTTTCAATAATGTCTTATCGGGAAAAGTTGCTTATAGGGGAAAAGAGGAGTATAAAAATAATTGTCTGGAAAATATTTTTATTTATTTCCTTTTCTAAGCTGAGGAGATTAAATATTTTTTTTTTATACAACTTAGAATAGCAAACAAGCTAAAGGCCCACCTGATGGAAAGTGGTAACCGTCGCCTATAGACATGAGTAATACCATGGACATAACAGAGTATACTGTTTCGCCCATGATACCGCCCCATGTGTTGCCATTCCTGAGGACTCAGGTGTTATTCCTCTGGACCCTGTAAGTTCACACCATATCCCATCCTTCAAACTGAAACAGTTATTTAAACACAACTGCTTCTTCTTGCTGTGTAAGAATGCATATAATAATATTGAGTTGTGTTAGGAAGTTCTATATATGAAAATACAAATATAATTAACAATTCTTTTAATAAAGTAATAATAAATACAGTTGCTACAACCTTTATTTCATAATTTTAATCATAATTATTAAATCTGTACATACTTAAGATTCTAAATTTTTTTACAGCAGAATTGTGAAAAATAAATTAGATTTTTAAGTATAATAAATTAAACATATGGGTTCCAATTACTGCCATCCTCTGGATGTAGACTATTTGTTATAAGTAACACAACATCCACTATCCACCATATACCTAAGCCTCCTAGAGTAAGTAATTTACCAACGGCAGTACCAGTTTGACCTAAACAAAATCTGTCCATTCCTAGGAAACCTAAGAGTATGCTATAGATTAAAGTTGTGGTGAAGTAATGTCCAGAATATCGCACGCATGGAAACCCATCTTTTAGGAATGTTCTAGGTCCGTGGCACTCTATGTTATTGAGGACTTCACATTGCACTTTAGTTCGTTCAACTTCTTCATATCTAACCCCTCCGAATTTCACGCATCCGTGGCCGGCGGCATCTCTAGCCGAGTGATTTCCTTTATGGTCTAAAGGTTCTTTGCAATTGAGAAAATCCAAAGGTAAAAAGTTGCACTTCACGAGTGGCCCCAGAGGTCGATACGGTTCATCTGCATATGGATTACTTTCTGTTAAGCTAGCAGATACCATAAAAAGGATTACAAAAGATAGTATAAATATGTACTCTATAAGAGACATATTTGGTACATTTCTAATTAACAAAATTCAGTCCATTCCATTTTTTACGTATAAAAAATAATATGTTAATAAAAATTTGTCAATTGACCACACCACCTAAAAAACAAACAAATGTCAGTTTCGCTTTTATTTTTTAGTACATTTGTTCCCTTATGGAACAGGCTAAGGTCAGAGACCATGCTGCCTAGTCTTCAATATGATTATTTGTCTAGATTATTTCGCGTTCAATTCAGTTGTCAGCTAGCAGTCAGTCAATCGGTCACTTTAAACCTAAGACCAAGGAATTAAACCAACAACCAACTGAACTATAGATAAATAGATATTAGATGCATAGATAAAGTATGTTTGTTTTATTTTATAGATATCATTTTTTATTTTACTTCCTTATTTATAAATACTAAAACCTACTACACATTTATTTTAACTAACATACTGGTATGGCAAAACAGTTCAATACTAAAATAGGTTTAACATTTTAAAAATTGTAGGTAGCATTTAAATATAAAATAATGTCTCTACTTTACTTCCCTGTACATTTTTAAACTATGTAGATATCTTGAAATGTCATATATTCTGTAATTTTTCTGTGGGCTGTGTTGTCAAAGTCAAGTATGTGACGTTTTAACATCTATCGTTCATCACTGGTTTGATTTCTTGTTTTTTCTCTTTTGTGTGGAATTGTGGATTGTAATGATTTTCCTTTCTTATTTATTAACACAGATTTAGCCAATAACTAGGTAGTGAAAGTTTAAATATGGAGGTGTTTAATAAATTTTATTCGTCTGTGAGTAGTACTGTATCTCAGTTGTCGGGTGTACTACCAGGAAATCCAGTCACAAGGGAGTTTGAAGCTACACAGTTTATCGCAAGTGCTGGTCCAGGTAAATACACTGCACCGAACATCAATTATTCTCTACTTATACTTTCTTCATAGTTTGTTAGTATTGGAACACATATAGGATTGACAATATTGCAGTCTAGTTGTGGGATGGGATCTGCGTCACACAACACTCATAATATCCTTATATTTAAATTGATTATACAAAAAATAATGAGAGAATCCTTTATCCTTATGAATATATGTATTTTATTTTATTTCAATAGGTACACATTAGAGTTAATAAACAATGTTACATTAATTTATACAGTACAATAATATTTTGTACAAGCTAACCCTCCAAAAATATGCGTACACAGCATGATCAAAACATAAACACACAGCTAAATAAGTATGTAAACACAATGTAATTTATACAACAAAAAATTATTTAATTTATATATATAAATATATATATACATATATATATTTACATTCATATATAATATCCATTTATGTCATGACAAAAATTATTTAATTAATTAATATATATAAATGTATAAGTATATAATTATTAATTTCAGGTTTATTATGGAAAATTTACAAAGGCTACAAGAAATCAACTAAACAGGAGGCATCAATTTTTGTATTTGAAAAGAAACAACTTGATAGGTTTTCAAAAGCAGATAGGGATATTATGCTGGATGTATTAAAACGTGGAATTGTTCAGCTGACCAAATTGCGACACCCTCAGATACTCACAGTCCAACACAGCTTGGAAGAAAGCAGAGAGAGTTTGGCGTTTGCTACGGAGCCAGTGTTTGCAAGTTTAGCCAATATTTTGGGTAACACAGAAAACATGCCACAGCCAGTGCCAAGCCATTTGGTCAATTATAAACTTTACGAACTTGAAATTAAATATGGATTATTGCAAGTGGCCGAGGGGCTTGCATTCTTACACAATGATGTTAAATTATTACATCATAATATATGTCCAGAGTCTATTATTGTGAATCAACAAGGTGCATGGAAAATATTTGGCTTTGATTTTTGCATTGCTAATCAGAATGCAACAGGATCTGCTCCGTATTGGCCTTTTAACGAATACTGTCAAGCTATGCATCCATTGTCCCAACCATTGCTTGACTATTTGGCTCCTGAGTATATACTTACAGCAACACATTCTCCGGCAAGTGATATATACTCACTTGGAATGGTTATTTATGTATTACATAGTACTGGACATCATACTTTGGGCAACATTGGTAATGATTACATGAAATTTAAGAGGTTTGCTAATGAATTAAGGAATTTACCACAGTCCAGGTTGTCATGTGTAGCTGATGGCCTCAAGGAGTATGTCAAGTTGATGTTGAATGCAACTCCTGAATTGAGACCTGATCCACACCAGTTTTTAAAAGTAAGTTTTTTTTTATACAACTTAGAATGGCAAACAAGCTGACTGCCTACCTGATGGAAAGTGGTAACTGTCGCCTATAGACATGAGCAGTACCATGGACATAACAGAGTATACTGTTTCACCCATGATACCCCCATGCTTTGCCACTCCTGAGGACTCAGGTATTATTTCTCTGTACCCAGTAAATTCACGCAATATCCCACCCTTCAAACCGAAACACAGCCATGCAAACACAACTGCTTCATGTTAGAACCACGAAAGGGACAGAGGTACCCAAGTAATTGACTTTTGTACAAAGTCCCTCTGGTAAGTGGTTAGGCTAGCAATATGCTTTTGGATACCTTAGGTATTGCATCTTCTTACTGAAATAAAATTTATAATTCATTATCTAATTAAATTGGACACTACAATGAATGCTATATATAAGCAATCTCTCTGTAAGCAACATTTATATTTTATTATTCAATTCAGCTTAGTTAGTAAAAAAAATAAGTAAAAATATTTTCCAGATGTAAAGAATTTTTATATTCCATTTTTTTTTCAATAAGCAACATTTGCCAATAAGAATTTTTTTATTGAAATTGGTTTAAATGAGTTGCTTATATAGAGCGTTCATTGTATATCATTGCATATAAGGTCTCATAAAAATATTGCATATGCTGGTGGTCACTCTATTCTCCCAAATTTGAATTTAAAAATGAATCTGTATTATTGTAAACATGTATAAAATTTATTTGAAAAAAATACAAGCCGAGTTTCTTGTTAGTTCTCATCTCGAAATCATTTCCAACTGACAGTATCTTATATTTGCATATGGGGTCAGCTAAGCTGTTGCATGTCGACCCATCGGGATCTTTTGTGCTTCCCCCTGCCTTATACAATCATTTAAAGGATCCTATGTGTTACCTTAACGATATCCTGTCCCGGTTTAAGATATCTGTAGTCTCCTGTCCGATAAGCCGTTCCCAGTACTGACAGTAGATTTGACATATCATAAGGGTCTGTAATAAACCTACATGAATAAAGATATTTTGAATTTTGAATATAATATGATCATTTGTAATAATGTTTGTTATTCCATTGCAGATACCATATTTTGAAGATGTTGGAGTGAAAACACTTAATTACTTGGACTCCCTTTTCCAATGGGACAATTTACAAAAATCTCAGTTCTACAAGGGGCTACCACAAATAATACAAAAGATGCCACACCGTATCTGCATCTATCGCATTCTACCATGCCTCAGTAAGGAGTTTGTCAACCCGCCCATGGTTCCATTTGTCCTTCCAAACGTACTACTCATTGCTGAGAATTCTACAAAAGAGGAATATATCAAATATATTCTGCCTGTCTTAAAACCTGTCATGTTAATACAGGATCCAATACAAATATTGTTGATTTTTATGCAAAAAATGGAATTACTGTTGAAATTAACACCAGGTGATGAAGTCAAGACTGACATATTACCGATGTTATATAGGGCATTGGAAGCTGATGCGCAGCAAATACAAGAGCTCTGTCTGTCCGTACTACCAACATTTGCATCGCTGATTGATTACCCGGCCATGAAGAATGCCCTCTTGCCTCGTATCAAGAAACTATGCATGAGTACCAACTATATTTCGGTGCGTGTCAATTGTTTGCTATGTTTGGGCAAGTTGTTGGAACATTTGGACAAATGGTTGGTGTTAGACGAGATTATACCATTTCTACCTCAGATACCATCGAGGGAGCCAGCTGTCTTGATGGGGATTTTAGGTAAATGATAACACTTATGTCTATTATTTTAATTCTTCTTGTTCTTTTAATTTAAACTAGGAAAATAAGTTACTTTTTTCCGTCTTTCTAAACGGATATATACAGATCGATGTTTTGGTTCTATCTTTTAATAAATTTATTAAAAAAACACTCACTGAAAAAACCTATCACTTGCTAAACGATTACTTGAATGACAAACGGTCATGGTGTTAGTGGACCATGTATTGGCTTTTTAATGACCATGTAATTTTAGACATAGTACATTTAAATAAATATATGTGAACTAATTGTTGAATTTCTCGTGGGCACTTCTCAACAGATAACAACCTTCTGAATCCTGCAGTAAATAAAAAAAAAAACACGTTTTAAACATGTCTATTTCTTTTTTATTCAACTTAGAATGGCAGACAAGCTGACGGCCCACCTGATGGAAAGTGGTAACCGTTGCCTATAGACATGAGCAGTACCATGGACATAACAGAGTATACTGTTTCGCCCATGATACCCCCCATGCGTTGCCATTCCTGAGGTCTCAAGTGTTATTCCTCTGTACCCAGTAAATTCACGCCATATCCCACCCTTCAAACCGAAACACAGCCATGCAATCACAACTGCTTCACGGTTGAAACACGAATGGGACAGAGGTACCCAAGCAATCGACTTTTGTACAAAGTCTCCCTCTGGTGAATTTGAATAAAGATAATTTAAATTTAGAATTTTGAAATCTATTGGAGCATTTTGTTTTTACAATTTAATAAATAGGGTCGTAAAACTTGTCTGTATAGTGCAACACTACAATATCTGTTATACTATTTGTATTTTCAGGGATTTACAAATTGGCACTTAGTCACAAAAAGCTCGGTATAACAAAGGAGGTGATGGCCACAAAAGTGCTCCCGTTCCTTATACCGTTATGTGTAGAGAATGGACTGACATTGAACCAGTTTAATGCCCTCATCACCCTCGTCAAGCAGATGATATCGAAGGTGGAAACGGAGCATAGAGCCAAACTGGAGCAGTTGAACTCTATACAGAATGAGTCCAAGTAAGTTGGTTATGTCTGTTAGTATTTGTTTTTAAAACTTTATTATCTGCATTCTTGTTGGTGGAGCTCTTGCCACTCACTACGATTTTCAGCGAATCTTTAAAATTATTTTGAACTATAGAAGACCAGAGGGAGACTTTGTACAAAAGTCGATTGCTTGGGTACCTCTGTCCCATTTGTGTTTCAACCGTGAAGCAGTTGTGTTTGCGTGGCTGTGTTTCGGTTTGAAGGGTGGGATATGGCGTGAATTTACAGGGTACAGAGGAATAACATCTGAGTTCTCAGGAATGGCAATGCATGGGGGGTATCATGGGCGAAACAGTATACTCTGTTAGGTACTGCTCATGTCTATAGGCGACAGTTACCACTTTCCGGTGGACGGTCAGCTTGTTTGCCATTCTAAGTTTTATAAAAAGGAAAAATTAAGAGAAAAAACGGAAAAAGTGTACAGGCAGACTTATTCCTTGAACTTATTCAAGGAATAAGTCTGCCTTATTATTTATTCATTGTCATTCATTCATACTTATTTATTATTTATTCTTAACTAGGATCTTTGCTTTGTTATGCCTTCGACATTTGGAATTGTTGTTAATCCTGTGGTACGAGAGAAGAAATGGATTATTAGTAATAGGATCTAGCTGCCCCACTGCTATCAATATACCATATCTGGTCGACCTCTATGTGGTTCCTCCTGGAAATCATTGTACTGAATTCCAGGTATATTCATAATGTTAGGCTAATTGACCTGCCTTTTCATACCCACCTATCATCCCTCACTGATACCCCAACAGTGTATACTGTTAGTGAAGGTAGGGTTACCATTCCATTATCATTACATAGCACCACCTAAATGTATGATACATTAAAAAAAAAAAAGAAATCTCTAGCTTTAAAAATAATTATCCTCCTTTTTTAGTGATTTCATTCATTAATTTTTATGTAAATTAAATTCCTTTCCTTCTATATTACTTAAATTATTAAAAAACATCTTTAAAATTTCTCATGATTTGTTTAATTTTTACAGAGTAATGGAACAAGCTCTCACAGCAACATCCGACAATTTAGTCTCTGCGCCCACACCGCAGACGGATATAGACAAAATGTTCTCCGGCCTGGGCCTGGACCCATTCTCATTCAATAACAGCAGTAGCAAGCAGGAGAAAGTGGAACCAGCACCGTACTTGGCCGAGAGCGCTGGCTCGCTCAGCATTGAAGAGAAACAGAGGTACGTATGACAATTGTGTCATAACTATTGGGTTATGACTAGAGAAGTCCAAGGATACAGTTAGTAGACATAATAATTTTTACGGAAATAGAAAAAAAAAAAGAAATATTTTTATTCAAGTAAACTTAGATTTAAGCATTTTTGAATTGTCATTCTTTCATTATTGCCCATTCGCAACGCACTTTCAGCCAAGAAGAACGGGCAAGAAAGTTAGCTGTTGCTTTTTTTTTTTAAATTAACTATATAAATAATGAATTTGTGTGAATACAAACTACTAAGCAGTGTTAGATTATAAAAGAAGTTAGAAACGTGAAATAATAGTATATGAACCTGTCTTTTAACTGCAGTAATTCTTAATGACTGATATTATGTTTGTTGGCAAGCTTTTACACGGTGTCATCTACTCACGAACTAAACAAAGCTAACCTAATAACCTAACCTATACTAGTGGGGGGAAAGGGATTGTTAGTAATGGAGACTGAGAATCCTATTGCTAGCAATATACCCAACCAGGTCGACCTCCTCGCGGTTCCCCCTGGTAACTATTATGGTTAATTCCTGATGAATTCATCATGATGGGCTAACTGACCTGTTTTCATTCTCATCTTTTTTTTTTTTTTTTTTTTTTTTTTTATGCAACTTAGAATGACAAACAAGCTGACGGCCCACCTGATGGAAAGTGGTAACCGTCGCCTATAGACATGAGCAGTACCATGGACATAGCAGACTATACTGTTTCACCCATGATACCCCCCATGCGTTGCCATTCCTGAGGACTCAGGTGTTATTCCTCTGTACCCTGTAAATTCACGCCATATCCCACCCTTCAAACCGAAACACAGTCATGCAAACACAACTGCTTCACGGTTGAAACACGAATGGGACAGAGGTGCCCAAGCAATCGACTTTTGTACAAAGTCTCCCTCTGGTATCATCATCTGGTATCATCTATCACCCTTCACTGGTGCTCCGCCAGCGTATCCCGTTAGCGCAGGCGGGGTTACCATTCCATTTTCACCCATAAAAAAAAAGGGCTGTGTGCTTGTTTACCACTATTGTAACCCAAGATAGAGCACACTCTCACACCTATGGCTGTATACGATTATGGTCTATGTCTCTATATATACTGTATTGTAATATTACATCAGCTACCTTTGTGGTATAAAAAAAAAAAAAAACAATATTTTTACAGGCTCGCTCAACAACAAGAAACAGTGCGCAAATTCTCCCAGCAGCCACCGCCGACAGCGATATCAGCACCGCCGCGGCAGCAACCGAAGCCCGTGGACCTCACCAGCTCTCTACTGCAATCCAACCTCAACCAGCTAACCACAAAGTCCTATCCAAACACATCCACTCCCAACCCCATATCACCACAAGGCCCAAACTACAATATATCAATGACGTCAAATCAAATGCCGTTCGGTTATCAGAATAACATGCCCACAGGCTTCAACAGTCAATTAGCGTTACCACCCACCACTGGGTGGTCACCAGCGAGTGGTAACTTCAATAATAAGTGGGCAAATAACCAGAACCAGGGTAACATGAAACAGGACTGGTCGGCCTTTGAATCTCTACTCCCTAATCAGAGTCAGAACAATAATCAAACCACGAATAATAATGTTAAAAAGTTAAGTGACAGTGAAATGATGGATCTATTGAGTTAGGTTCAGGTATTATCAGACACCGGACACTTCGTACAAAATTGCCACAATCTGTAATTGTCACAACTACAGATACAAGTGACATCTGTACTTGTATTAATGAAAAGCCTTATTTTTAATTTATCGTAATTTATTGAACAAACACAAATAAATTGATATAACACAATATTACACTACAATACAATACAATATTGCCATTTAGAAAAAATATTCTTTATATAAAATAAAAATTACTGTTGCCAGTACAACAAAAATATAAACTATTCATTTTTTAAATATTTTTTTTTTATTCTATATTGGACAGTCTGTACATGTGACAATGTGTGTGTGTGCTTGTGTTGTTAGGTATAGCGCGAGAAAAGCGCGCTTCGATGTATTGTGTAATGTGGAATGAGCTGTGACGTATATTCTTCTTCAAACCTCTTAAATATTATACTTTCTATCTATCCTGTTGTTACTACGGCGGTTATTAAAGTGGAGATTGGAGACATCCATTAGAATTTGGTAGCTGACTCGTGTTAAAGAGGGGGTGAGGTCAGACGCAGCGGGCGGCAGGGAGTGTCCATATTGTATTTTAGTATTATTACTTATACTGTGGTATTATGGTAATGTCTATCATTCTGATATAGTTTAGCAAGTCGTTATGCACTCAAAGACGTTATTGCGTTGTAATACGGTTGAAATTTGTATATTGATAATTTATTTATTGGGCTATTAAAATGAATAGCGAAAGTTGAAGAACTTATGAACTTTACTGCGTTATAATAAGGTCTACATTTATCTGTATATCTATAATATGTATTTAGCAGATACAGTCGAGAGCATTCCGTTCGCACTTAATTTTTTTTTTAACAATTTATTAAATTTTCAATCGGTTTCAGAAAAAAGGTACAGGTTCTGAATTTGGTAGTATTTTTATGTTCGTTATCTCGTAACCACGTTATTCATAAACCGATTTGGATAATTCTTTTTTTTTATCTGAAAGGTTCCATGGAAATTATATTAGTATTTATATTTCTTTATAAAAATAAATGAAACAAGTAATGTATGTAACGATAGAGGCAGTCTGTCTTCTCTCTAAAGCATTTGGCGTGATGATAGTTCTTACACCGGCAGTCACGGTCTCGAATTATAAAATTATTGTCGTAATAAAGTATTTGTGTTATGCCCATAATGTTCGGTCTACAAGTCTACACGGCACAGACTTTCGTCTCGGGCGACTCTCAGAAACGTGTAGATATGAACAACACCGAAAGATAGAAATATTTTTATTCAAGTAAACTTAAATAAAAAAAAAAATTAAGAGTAAATTTTTTATGATTGTAGAGCTCTTTCGGAATGCAATTTCAGCTTAGAACGGGCAAGAAACTTAAGTGATTTTTTTTTTAATTTTAAATTTTATAAACCATTGTTGCTGGCCATCAATATTTATTTAACTATACAATAAGAGCACTTGCATTCAAAGCTTTAAGTTTAGCTTCAAAAACTATATTGTAATATTAGATTATATTGATAAAAAATGCAAATGTTGCTTTCTTTCAGTCTTTCTTTATTTTATTTTTCTTAATTTTTATTGCAAAGGACGCTGTATATATATATATATATATATATATATATATATATATATATATATATATATATATATATATATATATATATATATATATATATATGTTGACTATTGTATTGTGCATTATTCATAAAAGCATAAAACATCAAAATTGTTTTAGCTGGTCGAGTAACTAAAACTGTAGTTTTTAAGTTTATTTCTTAATTTGAAAGAAAATAACCAAGTTTTTGAACCGATGTTAGAGTTTTAAGTTTTTATGAGTACTGCGGAAAATGTTTTAATATGATTTTCTTTTTAATTATTTATAAGATGATAATTTTACATTCCTATTAATTATAATATACTTAGTGCATATGAAATATGAGGGTACTTGAGCATTTAAAATGTAACTTTTAAACTTATTAATTACGTGTTCGTAATATGATTTTATTATTGTTAAATTCGTTGCTTCTTATACATAAAAATATATAGTACAGCTAAGGATATAATGGCTTCTAGAAACCATGCTGCTTGATTTTTATCTTTTAACATCAAATTTATGTTTCGTCTGGCTCCGAAATTTCGGAAAACGTTTCGTGGTAGGCCTGGATGGCATGAATTTATTTTTCTCAAGGGCGTATTTAAAAATTGTGAGGCTTGTGAAGATCCCAGGAAGCTTCTGTGCTTCTGAGCGGAGCTAGGCTGGCTGTACTAGCCACGACTCATACGCACAACGGGCCAAATTAGAGGCTAAGTGCGGAAAATGGAGTCCTATTTCACATTCACATTCAGGCGTATTTAAATGTGAGGGGTAGGGGGCGACGGGCGTGCCCACCTCTAGAATTGTCTGGTGCCCACCTCTATGTATAAAGTCTGTCTGAGAGTACGTAATATAACTTTTTGAAAGGGCCAGGCCCCATTTGGGGATAAAAACACGCCTAATTTTTCATAATGTTCAAGTTGAAGCAATCCAAAATAAAAAATACAATCTGTAGATCCATAAAATGAATTTTATGTTATGAATTATTATTACATAGAAACTTAGATTATATAGAAAGAGTATCGAGTCTCAAAAACGGCTCAAGTTTTTGTCAGCTAATTGTCAAATTAACTGACTTGTTTTTTTTATCAGTACTCTATATATTTACGCATAAAATGTATGTTGATGTATTATTTAATAAATAAAATGAGTGTTTACGCATTAAAAAGCTGCATAAATTATAAGACAAAATAAATGTAGAAGTTATAAAGGAATTACTCATGAATTATATATGGACCGTTTATTTTGAAAGCGGTGTAAGTCCATTTACAGCACATAAATATGTGTAATCGTAGTCTAATTATCAAAAAACAAATTTATATAAACAAATTAAATGTTGATAAAACAATAGAAACAGTGCCAGACCTCATATGATTTGTCTGTATTTTTAAATCAACAAATATGGTAACCTTTAATTTTCTCGAAACAAAAGAAAATGGACTTGCACCACTTTCAAAATAAACGGTCCATATATCACGCAAAATTGTATGAAAAAATTGATCCGTTTTTTTCAAAGCATTTTTATTGAGATCTTATCTTATTTTTTCGCATATGGGGTCAGCTAAGCCGATGCACGTCGACCCATATGGATCTTTTGTGCTTCCCCCTGCCTTATACCATCATTTCATAGATCCTATGTGTTACCCTAACGATATCCCGCGGTTTAAGATACCTGTACTACCCTAGCTCTGGATAAGCCGTTCCCAGTAGACTCATACGCATACTTGCCAACGAATCGCAGTTGCACATCAAGTGTTCCATGGATTCCGATTTCTCCCCGCACAGTGTGCACAGTGTGTCCGAAGAGATACTCTATCTAAGTGTGTCTATTGAGATACTCTATCTATATAATGTTAAACATACAAATTATTTGTATTACAGTATTGTAAATAATGTTTGGATCTAATTGCCACTGATGTTTAACTTAAAATATTTTATTTATCAACATACTTATATAGAAAATTGATCTCTTATAAAATAACGAAATAAATAAAAAATGTAAATAAATACTATTTATTCGTTTTATTTAATTTCTTAATACCTTAAGACACTGGTATCTGGTATAAATTAAAACTTAATATAATTTTTTTTAAATATTTTCTATACCCTTTTTTAATTTTTAATTTTGTTTTGTATTTTAAATTGCATGAAAAAAATTATCTTTTTTCATGTCTATAGACGACGGTTACCACTTTCCATCAGGTGGGCCGTTAGCTTGTTTGCCATTCTAAGTTGTATAAAAAAAAAGTATTATGCGTCGTGTGGATGAAAAAATTTCAAACAGGTTCATTGCGCAGTGTCAAAACTAAGAATTCTTAATTATATAGTATGGAAATACACCACAATTTCCGGTGGGAAAATAATTTGCCATCTGATTCAGATCATTGATTAGAATCAGCAGTTTTCGTTTTGGCCGACCTGTCCCTTCCATCACAGATAATATAATACCTTCATCCAGTTAACTACTTGAAATAAGTAGTTAGGTATATATATATATATATATATATATATATATATATATATATACTGGGGGTTTAAGCATTAATTTTGTGGATACGAGTACTATGTTCTTTATGAGCTATGACCAATAGAAACATTTTTTTTAATTTGTAGTAAGGAACTTTTAAAGATTATTATTTTGTTTACCTTAAAAATCGTTCTAATCAGGCCTAGGTGTTTCGCACTGTGAATAAATAGACACGAATTTATTCAATTTATGGATTTTCCAAAGTTTAGGTAGGTACAAGAAAATATAGGCAACCAAAAATTAAAGATACTCTAGTTTTAATTATTAAAATCAATTAATTAATTGCCCTCCACGTGGTCCCTCCTGTAAACCATTGTGCTGAATTCCAGGTGTATTCATCACGGTGGACTAATTGACCTGCCTTTTCATTCTCATTTATCGTCCCTCACTGGTGCCCCGCTAGCGTATACTGTTAGCGCAGGCGGGGTTACCACTCCATAGTCATCCATAAAAAAAAAAACTACTTCGTCCCAACAACCCACCCGGAATTAGAGTTGTATTTATTTGTAAGTTGTAAAAAATGTTAAGTTAGTTATGACTCCATAACTTTTTTTTTTAATTCAGTATATTTTAGCTTGAACAATTAATGTAGCTTCCCTTACAATTTTATCGGAAAAGGCGATTTTCCATTTGTAAACTGTTATTTCCTTATCTCCTTCGTCTGAATGACGATGCGAGGAAGACGCAAGCGCATACTAATTGCAAAATGCTCGCGGTCAAGAAACAAGTCTGGTACTCGTAGTTCCTTATCACGCTCCATACGGTGAGGAAGATGGCCACCACGATATTAGCGGATGTCATGGTGGCCGTTGTACTGAACTCGTTCAAGCTGCTATTGCTGTGCAGCGGTTGTAGGAGCATGCTGCACGCGGCTGTCGCGAAGCTGGAGAACATGCACCAAGCTGTTAGAAGGAACTTGCTCCCTGTCAAGGTTATGCCTGGAAAAAAGGAGGCAGTAGCAGTTGAACGATCTCGTGGTTCAAAGTTGTTTTTAATGGATGATAAATAGAATGATAATCTCGCCTACGCTATCAGTATAGGTACTTTGGCGGAGCACCAGTGTGGGGTGAGAGATGATAATGAGCAGGTCAGTTAACCCATCGTGATGAATTTAATAAGAATTAACCACTATGGTTTCCAGGGGAATAATGTGGATGTTGATCAGATAGGATATATTGCTAGCAATGAAGCTGTTAGATCCCCATTACTAACAATTCCTTTTATCCCGTGATTCATGGTTAATGGTGGTTGTTTTGCGTAAGTGAGAATAGCAATAGGGTTCGATTTTCCGTAGGGACAATAGGAAACTATATCTTTTAAGTTGCCCTATTTTGGACATTCTGGTTTTTTACACCGCAGAGATGGTGCAACATATTTGTTTGCGGCTTACCTGATGGTAAGCGGTTTATGAGAGCGTGTAACACAATTAGAATTGCACGCAAGCTGTTAATGAAACTTTTTTAAACCTTTTTTAAAAACCCTACGCAGTAGTCTCTTGCTAAAACTGTTGTACCTATATTCTTTGTTTGATTATATATTTCGTTCAATGCTTACCGTAAAATCCAATGCAACCAGTTAAACAGAACAGACTGCAAAGCCTAGCTTTTTCATTGATGGATTTTGGCAAGAACATGCAGATTGACACGAAGCATAGAGCCGAACCGTGCGCCATTGACAACATTTTTGAAACCTGAAACAACATTGGACTATAAGAACTGCTATAATAAGGAGAAGTTAGAGAATTTCTAATTAATTCTACATACCCCCCAAATATTCATCGACGGATTCTGTTGCCAAACGAGAAGCGGAAATACAACTCCTAGTACAAGGACAGAAAATGTAGTGCAGAGATGAAGCAATGTGTACAAGTAGAAGTTGAGATCCAGCAACATGCTTTTTATTGCTATAATATTCTTTTTTAACGTTCCAGTTCTCCTTATGGTGCCTTCTGTCATTTCTGTGGCAAATACTACACTATTTTCTGGGGAATTTACTGTTGTTTCCCTGTACAACGGTTGAGGATTTGGCCCGTCCCTGTCTATACTCTCGAGTTCTTGGTAACCAGTGATCCTGCTATAGCTGGTCACATCAAGGGCACCGAAGTCTGACGAAAATCTATTATTAGATGGAAATTCGGTGTACATCGTGCTAAAATCTGAGGAAAATCTATTCTCGTTAATGACTATCTTCTTCTCGCGTTGTTGAATTTGTGGGTCCATGATTTCTTTAGCATTTCTTTTGGAGTTGAAGACTACTACGTCGTTCGCATCTTCTTCTTGTCCACTTGGTCCTGCAGCGGCTGCAGGCCTCTGTTCTTGTCTTTCATTTGATCGGTTCTGATTCGAAAATATAACTTGATCATCATCTTCAATTGCATCTTGGAGCATCCTATATGTAGTTTTAATGACTTTCTCTATGTACACAGGTCTAGTATATGATGCTAAGAAAAAGCAATTCTGCATAATAATTGCTCCGTATATCATCACGACTGCATCGCCCGAATATAAGGTGCACAGGTAACCGACCAAAATGGGCACAAGACAGTTGCCTATAGTTGGCGCCATCCTGATCAGCCGCTGCGGTATCACCAGTTTTTCCCTGAAGTAGATTGTTATTATCATTTCTGTTTGCTGTCCTGTTAGAGCGCATCCCATTCCTGAAAACATAAATAGATAGGTAGGTAAGTAGTTGTAACTGTTATCGTTTTGCCATCAAAAATACTTATAAAGAGAAAGAAAGGGGTTGTTTGTAATAAGATCTAACAGGCTCATTACTAGTAATATACCTAACAGTTCAACCTTCACGCATTTGCCCCTGGAAACCATCGTGGTTTCCAGGGGCAAATGTGTGCGTGGTGAATTCAGCAAATTTTTAATGAATTTACCACGATGGAAAACTGACCTGCTTCATCTTTACCTATCCTTCACTGGTGGCTCGCTAGCATATAGCAATAGCGCAAGTGGGGTTACCATTCCATGACCTATGAGTATATGAAAAACTTATATGATCGGATGACAGGTTTACGTGGCCTTTAAAAACTATTATGTTTCCTATTATGTTGTGTTTTTTTTTTTATTATACAAGTTAGAATGGCAAACAAGCTGACGGCACACCTGATGGAAAGTGGTAACCGTCGCCTATAGACATGAGCAGTACCATGCACATAACAGAGTATACTGTTTCGCCCATGATACCCCTCATGCATTGCCATTCCTGAGGACTCAGGTGTTATTCCTCTGTACCCAGTAAATTCACTCTATGGTATATTCCACTCTTCAAAACGAAACACAGCCATGCAAACACAACTGCTTCACGGTAGAAACACGATTGGGACAGAGGTACTCAAGCAATCGACTTTCGTACAAAGTCTCCCTCTGGTAAATATATACTATTACGTTTCCATAAAACGTATCTCCATCATTATGAATCAAGCAGAGAGGTTTGATTATTGTATATATTTTGTGTGTATGTTACATGATATCTGTTGTAATGTGTTTCCGAACATAATGTTTTACTCTGCTCTGTGTTAACTAATCTTGATGAGAATAAAATGTCGAGTAAGAATTAACAAGCATTATAATTAAAACTATTAGTCCTATATTAATAAAGCATCTATCTACATTCAACAATATCTTCGCTAGTACTTCGGTACTGATGGTCGAATTACTTGCTTATGGTGTTCGGTACTTTTTTTTACAACTTACGGGCTTTATTCCAAAGTCACTTGTTTTTTTGACGATGTTAAATTAATTAATTGATTTTATACATTTTCATATCCCCCTCCCCCGCCCCTAGTTCTTTATATTTCAGCAGGCAATGACGAAAAACAACATTTTATGAGCTAATATTTACCTGCGAAAATGCCAGCGAATATGTTTACAATATGATCGTTACTGTCAACGTTAGTGGAGTAACTGGACAACAGTACACCGGCCACGGTGAGGCACAGCCCCGCCAGGGCTATAAACCGAGGCATGTTGAACGTTTTCACTATAAGTCTGCTCCATGAATCCAACAGTAGTTTAATGATCGTCGTCATAACTGGTACTAACATTATATCGGCATCCCATATTTTCAATGTCTCTCCTTCCTCGTGGTCCACTTCTCTTAAACCTTTTAAAATGACTAATCCATACAAGGTAAGTATAGCGGGTACTGTGATTTGATACACCACTGCTGATACAACAATCAACCAACCGTACCCCCCATCTGGGGGAGTTGGACCGATTTCTGGTTGTGACGCGACCACTCTATCCAAATGTAAGTCGACTACTCTGTTTTCACGACTTTCGTTTTGATTCACACTAGAATTTATTTCCGACTCCATGTTTTTTTTTAAACGATAACAATAGCTTCATGACTAAAACATGTAATCCGGACAGCGTGTGAGTTATCAGTTTGCAATGGGTGTGGTATCTTATCATTACTTATCATTGTTGTAATCACTGTTGTTCTATATTTTTCAAAATTACCGCCATGGTATTTTAGACTCGTCATAGATAATATCATAGACTAAGGATTACATCAATATTTTTTAAATATTTATTTATTTATAGCAAGGCAACAGATTACAAATTGATACATTTATAAAATAAATATTACATAAAACGGCATTAAATTTGCACTCCAATAACTGCTCTGCATAACATTCGATATTATATACATTAAAAGAATGACGGCTATAAATTTTAAGTAACAAATTGGCAGCCTTAATGTAACTTTGCAAGGATTGTTGGAAAATATCAAGCTCCTTGCATACATTGTTATATTTTCTGCACATGCGGATAATTGCATTGTGATACGATACATTATTATTATAAATTGGTATATAAAATAATTTTGGTATTCTTTTATTACCTATACGAAATGAAATAATGCTCAACAATGTGCTACTGTCCCATTTATAATTTATTATTTTACAGAGAGCAATAAAATCAGACATAGATCTTCTATTTATAAGAGAATTTATATTAAAGTAATTAAGTCTTAATTCATACGAATGAAGTTTCCTTCTCAGATCAAACTTAGTGCTCAAGAATCTAACAAAGCGTTTTTGAATTGCTTCTATTCTGTCAATGTAGTTCTGATAAAAAGGAGACCAAATAACAGAACAGTACTCGAGTGAACTTCTAACTAGTGTTGTATAGAGTGACAAAATAGTTTGCGAGTTATCAAGTTTACGAGAATATCCTGACTCATTCAAGTTTGGGTTCATGTATCTATTTATTGCTCCTCATAGGACAAATGGACAAAAACGGTTACGCTGTCTTCTTTGTCTAACAATCGGCAATAGATTTGCAAGTGATTTATGAGGTTTCATATAATTTTTTTTCGATTTTTCAAGTTTCTGAACGCAACTAGTGAATATTATGCGATTAAATACAGAGAAGTATGAGCGGCTTTTCCGTTAGAAAGAGTCGGACATACACCATTATACAAGAGTGAAAAAATAGCAAACAGAGACTTTCTTATTTACGTTTGTAATTGGCCGTATAATACAATATGAATTCCACCGATCGACATGAGTGACTGACTGAGACTTCAATTATAAAAATCGTAAATTAATAATGAGAAGGTAATTTCTACGATCTCTTGGCAAATTAATGAAATAGTGAATGTAAGATGTGATTTGTTTTTGCTGTTGTTTGAAGATTTGGATGTGTATCTCGTGTTTAAAGACAATTTCTGCATGCTCAGGATCCGTGAAGCCCCAAGCATTTTAATTGCCCTCTTGAGTGCAGTGTTTGTTTTAAACTTAGTGGTCATATATTATTACAGGAGTGCCAGTGAATATGCTCATGGATAAGATAGAGGAAAGGATATTCGCGGATCATCACAATAATGGAGACGGAATCTGTGAGATCCGAATTGAGTAGCCGGTCTCGGCGCAGCTCAAGGCACAGGCAGCATACACACCGGAGCACCAGGTACTTTTGTCTTAATAAGTTAATGGTTCACTTTTTTGGGTATATAATCGGTTTTCGCAAGTAAATAGTTACTAATGTCAAAATGTTTATTAGCAAAGAAAGTGAACCAGTTTTGAATGAAAATGCATATGATTAAGTGTAAAAGTTGAAGTGACACAGTTGAAGTACATTTTCTCAAAATATATGTTTTATTTAGGTTATATATATATATATATATATATATATATATATATATATATATATATATATATATATATATATTATATATATATATATATATATATATATATATATATATATATATATATATATATATATATATATATATATATATATATATATATTAGCACAAAAAGAAAGCATAGAAATTTAAATAGCTAAAACTTATGTGAAGCAATCATCTATTGAATCTAAAAAACTATACCAATGTCAAATACTTCAAGAGTTTGTTATGCCGTATTATTGTTTATTTGTTAATTAGCATGCTGTGTTTCCTTTAAAATGATTGTACACAAAGTATAAATAGACAGTAATTTTAATATTAAATCTTATCAGTGTAACAATTACTGGGAGAGCAAATAAAGATAAAATTAAAATTCATATTGCTTGGAACTAATAATCTAAAATACTAAAGAATATATTTTGTATAAAACTATATGTAGATTTTATTTTCTGTTTATAAACTAAAAACATGCTTGATTGACATGGAGTAGAAATATATGAAAAGGGGCATATAAGGATTACAACAAATTATCTAAACAAAGTAGTACTATTATAAAGTATAATTTAAAGTTTTTTTTTATACAACTTAGAATGGCAAACAAGCTGAGGGTCTACCTGATGGAAAGTGGTAACCGTCGCCTATAGACATGAGCAGTACCATGGACATAACAGAGTATACTGTTACACCCATGATACCCCCCATGCCCCTGAGAACTCGGGTGTTATTTCTCTGTACCCTGTAAATTCATGCCATATCCCACCCTTCAAACCGAAACTGTAAATTGTAAAGTAAAGGATATTTTTATTTATTTTATTGTGAAAGTTTTAGTGTTTATTTATCTGTAGCAGTATATAAAGCAGTCTTATTGGTAAATAATCTTATTGAAACATTCCTTGGGGAGAAGATTCTTAATTAATATTTTTTTAAAATAATATCTAATAATTTTACATAAAAACTTGTTTGCCTTAGTTGTTGTTGTTCATTTTATTGACTAAAATACATGCCTACTTTATTTAAGAAATAACAAAGTAAATAAGTTCACCATGAGGTCTCAGCACAGAATGGGTCACCCATTTTTATGGATGTTGCTAAAGATGACTATGGGAACTTAGGAACTTGAGAGAGGTGGGCATGAGTGTCCATCTTAAAAAAATTGTGAAACTTAACTGTGGTCACTAACCCGCTTGTCAAGTGTGGCAACTACTGGCAAAATTCCTTAAGGGGAAGGCCTATGTTTGACAGTGGTCAGTTAACTGATGATATATTGAAGTATAAGCAATTCTTATTAATATAATGAAAGTTTTATAGAATGGAATTTATCTCAGTGTAATTATTATTATTTGTTTTGAGATACAAACTGATTTTACAAGTTTAAAATTAGCTATTGCAACTTATTGAACCATATTGATATTTTATTTCAGAAGTACTAAATCGCAAAGAAAAGACTGTGGAGACAACACAATGGCCCCATTCCAAACCAGTGTGAATATTAACCCCGAAATGGGAAGAGATGGACAAGAGGTTATTGAAGTACAAATTCTACCCCAAGATGAGAACTGGGGAGAAACGACCACCGCTGTAACTGGAAACACATCTGAAGGCTCCCAATCCATGGAGGATATCGGCAATTGGCCAATGGAGAATGATACGGGATTAGGTTTTCTCTGTTCCAGATATTTTGGCACTACAATATCGCTCGGACTTGCTTTTGTATCATTTGTGAGTCCTTTAACAATGGTTGTGTTGCCCAAAATAGGGTTTTTCCCTGACCTATCTGATAATATAGCAATACAACCAAGTCAAAGAATACAATTGCTCGCATGTACTGCTGAGTGTAAAGGTATTTTGTTATCATTGGCGTTCAAGCTTGTCTTACTCGCCATAGGAGTTTGGGCAGTATTTTTAAGACCGAGAAATGCTATTCTACCAAGAATCTTTGTATTTCGCGCTATGACACTAGTTATTGTAGCTGTATGTATATTTTCCTACTGGTTGTTTTATATTGTACAAATAACGGAAGCAACGAAGGCGTTGGCTGTTGGCGAAGATGCTATTGATTACAAGTCACTTGTTGGATACGTATCCAATTTTGCAGATACACTGCTTTTTATACACTATGTAGCTGTCATTCTAATGGAGATACGGCATCTGGAACCAGTGTATTATATAAAGGTAGTGAGGAGTCCAGATGGAGAAAGTAGATCATATTCTATTGGGCAGCTGAGTATACAGAGGGCTGCCGTGTGGGTCTTACAGAAGTATTATACGGAGTTTCCAATTTATAATCCATATTTGGAGAAAATACCAATATCAAAATCTCAGAGGAGGGCGCAGTCCAGCATCAAGTTTTATGACGTAGACAGTTCAAATACAAATCCATCCTCAGGGCAACCAAGGTATGTAATTTTGTCGGACGTTTATATTATCAATAGAGTGTAATAAGTATTATAAATGTAAATAAATAATGAGGCTGTAAATTAGGGATTTGCAGTAGATAAATATTCTGTTAGTCAGGTACTAATTTTAGAATTTGATGAAGTTACAGCATTTTATATGAAAACTATAGAATTTATAATAATTATTAATACAACTAGTTTCACAGTATTTTTTATATCTAAAATGTATAAATATGAAAGTATCTAAAAATGTAAGCTGAAAAAGAGGCTTGTATCTGGTGCTTGCAAAATTATGTTCAAACGATAGATTTAATATTATTTTGGAGTGTAGGACAACCATACTGCAGACCGACATAAAGGATATGTTAATTATATTTTACAAGGATTTTTAATGCGTAAATATCGAATGGCAGCCTTGTTTGCGCTATCAGTATACGCTGGTGGATAATAGCTGAAGACGAAATCGGGTTGACTGACTTACTGCGACGACTTTGACAAGAGTTAACTATGATCGTTTCCAGGAGAGAGGTTGACTCGGTAGGGTGTATTGCTAATAATGGAAAAGATCTGTTACTAGCAATTCCTTTCCCTCCAAGTTTTTGACGAGGTGAAAATCAGTATTAAACTAGTATATGGCTAATGTGTTTGTTGGCGGCGGCAGGACGGGCGCGGGGTCGTGCACGGGCAGCGGCGGGCGGCGGCGCGAGGCGGGCTCGGCGCACAACGAGCGCTACTACGAGGAGGCGGAGCGCGAGCGGCGCGTGCGCAAGCGCCGCGCGCGGCTGCTGGCCGCCGCCGACGACGCCTTCGCGCACGTGCGCCGCCTCCGCGCCGCGCCCGCCGCCGCCGCCGCCGCCTCCGCCGCCAGCGGCGTGCTCGGGCCGCGCGAGGCGGCGGCCGCCGTGTTCCCGTCGCTGGCGCGCGCGCTGCAGAAGTACCTGCGCGCCACGCGCCAGCAGCCGCGACACTCCGCCGACTCGGTGAGTGCCCGCATCCACTGCCACTACTGCCACCGCCACCCTCCACACCCTGTCGATGGCTTAGTTCGAATGGTATCCCATATGTAGCGTGAATCTTTACGTTCAGTTAATACTTTCCCTGGAGGCATGAATTTCACCCCTGCGATCGATACTTCTTCAGTGAAAATAGTACTAGTTCAGTGTCTTCCCAGCACTCGAAACCCTTAGCTTATAATCCACTTAGATCTAAATATTTACCCTTGCTATTGATTCTCCCTCAGTGAAAACGATGATACTAGTTCAATGCCTTCCTACTTGAGATGCTTTCCTATCTTGACAATGAGTATCTACTAACTTGGCTTAAATCCTTTCTGCAATTCAACTGTTATATTCCATCCGTAACATGATGATATAAATTTACATTATATATGTATGTGAATAAATGTCTTCATACACATATATTAAAAATAGTTCTATTCGATAGATGTCAGTCAAATAACAGAGAAAATAAGAATGGTGGCTATTTTTAATAATTCAGACACCAGATCTATATTTAAAGTGTATATAATTGACACTAGATGATTGTTTACTTCCCTGTGACGTCACTGACGCGATATTACTCAAAAGTTGCGTTTTGGCCTACTGACGATCGTGTATATTTTTTTTATGAATGAAAATAGAATGGTAACCCCGGCTGCGCTAACGGTTTACGCTTACGTGACCCAAGTAAGGGATGATAGGTGAGAATGAAAAAGCAGGTCAGGTAGCCTATAGTGATGAATACACCGGGGGCAAGCACGTGGAGGTGGAGCTGGCAGGGCAGGCGGGTGGCATTACCGAGGATGTGGTGCAGGTGCTGGCGCACCTGGCGCGCTGCCTGGCGCAGGACGCGTCGCCGCGCGCGTTCGTGGAGCCGTTCGTGGTGGAGGGCCCGGTGCTGGCGCACGAGCAGGAGGCGCGCGCGCTGCAGCGCTGGGCGCTCATCTCCGACCACCTGCTGGCGCGCCCGCTGGCCGCCGGCGTGCACTTCCAGCTGCGCCAGGGCGACGTCTACCTGCTGTGCTCCGTCAAGCGGCTGCCCAAGTTCAGCCTCGCCGAGGAGGTGGTCGATCCCAAGAGCAACAGGTTCGTGCTGCGGCTCAACTCCGAGACGTCCGTCTGACACGACCACTGCCCGAGCAGGGATGGCCACAGATACGTATGACATTTAGATTTTATTTAGATTAAGAATCTCACTTCGAAACGACAAGCCAATGATTGTTTAGAGATTAGTAATTTATTTGCAGACGTTACCGCCTTATTCATCGAAACGACGGACGTTTAAACTTAGATAAAGAAATATTTTCTCCTTTTCTTTTACCCTCAATTTTTAATTTGAATTTTTTTCTTTCGTTTTTATAAATACACATAGGTAACACTATAAAATGAGATTAATAATGCAATATTATCACCAAGTGATTTACTGACTGAAGTTAAACTAAAGTTGAGATAGGACGAAGCGAAAGGTTAACCTCCATAATGAATCTTCCGTTACTAATGCCTTAGTGAAGTAATGGTGGTTTCGCTACAATAATATGAGGTTTATAAACGCTCTCTGTGCAAATGAGAATTGTTAGTCACTAATATTGCGCGGTGACAAAGCCGCTTATATGCATTCGTAGTAGACAAAGTTTTCAAATAGGAAAACGAATGGCTGTTAAGATGTCCACTAGCCAGTCATTAATTAATTCAGTTGGAGTTCTAATTTCTTTAAATAACTGTTAACCATTTCGATAATAATATGTGTTAAGTAACCATACAAATCACTTGCCCCTTCTAGAAAAAGTACAAACGAATCTATTAATAGAATCGTTATCGCTAGCGAATCCAGGTGATAGAATGAGATGGCGATGTGTGCTGTCTTTTTCTATCTTATGTGAGTGCTAATCGAAATGATTCTATAGATAAATTCGTTGTCTAATACGGCTGGTTCTCAAGCTAGAGTACTCTTCGTTATGAGGAACCAGGCAATGTTCATAATTTTTACGTTAATTATTAGAGTGTTTTCACACTTTCTTTCATGTTGAGAAATTAGTGCAAAAGATAAAGACAATAGACTTTAATAGCTAAAATAGGCGTACGTCGGAGATTTTTATTAGTAAGTGTGGAACTGAGCTCAAATTTTACTTGCCACTGGGCAGCTATTTACGCTTGTTTTTAATGTAAATAGAAGGAATGTAGAGTATCGAGTAGGCTAATTCGTTTTATAAAATTTGTATTCTGTGAATAAAATTGGCGGGAATTGTTTTTGTCATTGTCTATGGTATAAAAAAAGAAGTGCGTCGTTTGTCTTTATCGTTGATCCGATATAAGGTTCATATTTGTGCCAGGCTCTACGACGACGTCAATCATTAGTACAAAGTATTATTTTGATTATGGTTTGATAGCTGCTTTATTTATCTATTTATTGCCTGTGTAGACAAGAGACATTTTGTCTACGGATATAATTTCTCTTTGTTTTTGCTTACTCTGTCCAGTTATTTGAATCTATTAAAAGAATCATAATTAATACATTTTAGTCTAGTTATAATAAAACGCCCAAAATTGCAAGTTACAATGTAGACTTGAAATATTTTACAAGTATTTTAAATACACTATCGGGACTTAATGCGATTAAAAATTACAGGTAAATTTTTAATCGCTTTAAGCATTTAAATGATTTTTTTGCAAGTAGCCTGTAAAATAACATTCTGTCATGTATATAATTCACAGAGACTGCTATAAAATATCGTTTAATGAAATAATTTCATACTCATAGTCGCTGTGCTCAAATGTATTCGTGAGTCATCGGCTGCGGTTGATTAGTGGTGAAATGAAATCTCAGACTATTGACTGAATCGTAAAAGCGAATTAATTCTAGACTTTAACACACTGATCATAAAAATCATATTTAAAATTTCATTTTCAATAGAAAATAGAAGCAGTTGTGAAGTTGGGTGATTGAGATTTACAATCGCTGTCTATTATTTACAAAAAAATATTTCAATAAATGAATACTAGCAATAACTCCCATGTCTACGACAACGCACATCTTTTGACAGATTGTGCGAAGAGAAACTTCATCTGTGGACAAAGAGTTCATCATCTGTACATACCTTTATGTAATGAAGGAGATAGATTATGTTATCTGTGGTCCGTACCCATTGATTTTTTTTTTATAATTAAGTTACAGAATTTTTTAAAAATGTCCTCAATTGACATTAAATGTTTGATAAAAAAATGACTTTGTGCAATTGAAATTGATTATTCTAAATAAAATAGATGTAAGGTGTGTGAAATTAAGCCGTTTTGAAGACTTGATATGTATTTGTAGTTTTAAGATTTTTTTTTATGAATTTACACTTTATATGAAGTATTGTAAATTTTGTGTCATATATATATTATATTTTTAATGTGTAGTTCTAAGTACAATAATTATGCACAAATAGATTAATTATCATAAGTAGTTTGATATTTAACTAATATAAGTAGATGGTTAATATGTAAAGAAGCGATTACTATAGATCTGAATAGAATAGAGAAATACGTCATTAAAATGCGTTCGAATGATAACATATTTGTACGTACAGTACATACAAATGAATAGATGTTTGAAAGAGAGAAAAAAAAAGATACATAAAGCATAATTATTATATTTATTTTTTTGTAGAAAATTGGTAAACGAATCTCTATTTTTATTTATTTGTTTATTTTATTGGTTATCTCCAAATAAATCTTTGAGATAGAATGAAATGTTGCCATGTCTTGTTTCTCATGCAATCGTTAACTAATATCGATAGACTCACGTTATTGCATGCATGTGAAAGAATGTGACAACGTTCAGGTTCTTATACCATGTATACCCTTATACTCTACTTGTCTAAAGGGTTGTTAATATCATAAATTGCTAATATGGCACGTTTTAGAACTGTATTCCGAATCACCAGTGATCATTTTAGACTAAGTTCAAGTCAGCTTTGATTTACTTTTTAGACATAATTACAGGCGAGTGCGATTCGTACAAACATATCAAGTTTATACTTCTCATTAACCTATGCTACTATTGTAAATTTAATGCCATTTCGGGAAAATGTACAGAACTCTCGTTTTTTTTTTTTAACAGCCGATCAGCCGAGACTATCTCTGTACGATTGATTCAACCAATCACAATAGATACTTTTTACACAAGGCACATTTCAAAACACGTTACACGTTCAGTATAATTGTTTTATTGATAAATATTAATACTTGATAATTCGATTATTACATTGGATAAATTGTAATTTTGCAAAATTATCTCTTTGTTGACGTCAGATTTTTTAAACAATGATATTGTAAGTTGCATTCTCTAGATTAAAATTTCACCTTGAGGGTTTTTGCCAGTAGTTGCCACGTTTGGCAGGCAGATTGGCAACCGCAGTCAGGCTTTGGAGATGTTTTAAGAGGTACACTGCTGCCTATGTCTTGCCGTCCTTAGTCGCCTCTTACGACACCCACGGGGAAGGAAGGAGTGGCTTATCCTATGCCGGGACCACAAGGGAATTATCGGATATTTAGATTCAGGTTATAAGTATATGGGGACATTCTGTTTGATATCCCATAGAAATTATTGGTCTAAAGATCGGTGGTTATATATATATATATATATATATATATATATATATATATATATATATATATATATATATATATATATATATATATATATATATATTCGCCTATAAACAGAATTATTTAGACCTCCAACCTCCAGCGTTTTTTTTTATACAACTTAGAATAGCAAACAAGCTGACGGCCCACCTGATGGAAAGTGGTAACCGTCACCTATAAACATGAGCAGTACCATGGACATAATAGAGTATACTGTTTCGCCCATGATATACCCCCCATGCGTTGCCATTTCTGAGGACTCGGGTGTTATTCCTCTGTACCCAGTAAATTCACGCCATATCCCACCCTTCAAACCGAAACACAGCTATGCAAATACAACTGCTTAACGAGAGCTTGCGAGTTTTATAGTTTAAAAAGGGTATCGTCTTATATATTGGTATTAAAATCATAGACAAAATAGACAAGTTTGTGGTCACGTGATCTGACCCGGTATTTTTTTTTATTTTGTAATAAGCCCCCAATATATAATTCATAGCGCTTTCTTACTTCTAAAGTCGAGACATAGTGCTTTATAAAACACAAATAAGGATTATATAGATATATAATCCTATCTCGATCGCTTTTTATTTTTTATGGTAACTTTAATATGAACAAGGAAAGAAGTGAACAAGTTGTACTTCAAAAGGGGAATAAAGAGGTTTCTTTAGAGATTTCTTTAGAGTTTTCAGTGGTATAAAAGAAAAAAAAAACTTGCCTTCCATTGTTTATACGTGTGTTGTTATGACTTGTCGAGTGGTCTATCACTAATCATATTTTCACAGAAATCAGTTTTGTGTATCTTGAATGTGTCATCTTATCGTCATCATCACTGATGATATCTTTTTATCATCGACTGACAACAAATTGTTTATACCTAATAGAAGCTGCATAAGATTTTTTTTTACATACATACATACATATCTGTCACGCCTGTCTCCCATTAGGGTAGGCAGAAACAATGGAACGCCAAATGCTTCGATTCGAACAAACCTCTTTCGCTTCTTCCACATTCATCAATCTCTTCATACACGCTCGCCGGTTACGGGTACTTTTAATTTGGCCCTTCATCAGCACGTCGCCTATTTAGTCGACATACGTCCGTCTAGGGCGGCCCCTACCGATATCTCCATACATTCTTGCTGGATAAATCTCTTTCGTATTTTTTTTTTATGTAGATAATTCTTTAGAGAGAACATGCAATCATATTTCGTTCTGGAATCCAACATATTATGTCATTTATTACATTTATAAAAAAAACTTAGTTGAATTGAATTTTTATACAAAATTGCTTTTAGCCCTTTGAAATTTAAGACGTTCTTGATCTCAAACTCGTATTCATGATAACAGTATGCATTTTTTTTTTATAATTTTACTATATTTTAATTAGAACCCATTTTTTTGATGGGTGAAAGTGAAATGGTAACCCTATATAGAGATCACAGACAGTCACTATCTGTGATCTAATCAGTGAAAATGACTTTATATACATCATTGTAGTGGCTGACGTCAATGATCAAGATTCACTATCTTTTTTTTTTTATGAGTAAAAATGGTATGGTAACCACGCCTGCGCTAACGGGATACGCTGGCGGAGCACTAGTGAGTGGTGATCGATGAGGATGAAATCAGGCCAGTTAGCCCATCATGATGAATTCATCAGGAATTAACCATGATAGTTTCCAGGGGGAACCGCGAGGAGGTCGACCCGGTTGGGTATATTGCTAGCAATGGGATTCTCAATCTCCATTACTAACAATCCCTTTCCCCCCTGAAGTATAATTGTGTTAAATGTATCCAGAATGATGTCTAATGAATATCGAAGTAACAACTATCGAAGTATTTAGTGAATGTGACAAGCAGCAAACTAGAGCAAGATAAGTTTAGTATAATACGCTTACATATCGACTCACAGTATATAGACTGCAGTACAGCGACGCCTGTTATTAAACCACTGTTGAGTATTAGTATTTGCAACATTTTTTTTAAATTATTTCAGCCGTTAACTGTCCACTGCTGGACATAAGCCTTCCCCATAAGGGGAGTTTTGTCAGTACTTGCCACGCTTGGCAGACGGTTTGCCAATCGCGGTTTTTAGATATGTTCTAAGAGGGACGCTGCTGTCCATCTCTCGTCGTCCCTTAGTCGCCTCTTACGATACCCACGGGAAAGGAAGGGGCGACTCATTCTATGCCGAGGCACACAAGACATTTATTGTAACCATATCATAGATTAATAATATTTATTCCTATTTATAGCAAGCTTCGCGAACTCCCACTTATATGCCTTGTAAATATGCCTTAAATTTTTTATAATGAATATTAATAAATGTAATTTACATATGATCACTAAAGAGAGAAATTAATAAACATTAAACTGAATCAATTATTCTGTGATGATCACAAATCCTTCATCAAAGGTGATGATACGAGGCACATATCCTTGCACAAGATTTGTCATAAAAAATATATAAAATAAAGCGTTATACACACTCATCAGTGTCGACACGTGATTATTAGTTGTATAGTATTATCAGTTGTATTGTGTGAAAAATTACTAGTGTATGGTTTAACGTATGTGCTGTTAAGGTCACGGAAGCGCGTTAGTACTGAAGTGAATAATAAATTCCATCGGATACATCGCACAGCGCCATCTATTCTCAAATTAAGTAAGCTTGTACTAGACAATTGACACGCATACCTAAGTACATTTTATTTTTATGATTATATACATATTATACGTAGATAACACAGGTGTACATAACTAGATTATGGCATTAAGGCCGAGACCGAATTTATTTTATGATACAAGTTCCAAAGTAATGTCAATATTTTTTAATGAAGTAATTACAGGTTTAATTTACATGTAATTAGATCGAGAAAGTTCGACTAGTTTCGGCATCATTTCGTGACCCTTAATCATGAGCGGCTGTAACACGAGCGCGATCCTGATATATTATAATGTAATTACCTAATTAGCCAACAGTTATTACATTAAAATGTAATGTGTGTTTACAAAACATTTAAACAGTGTCATTATTATTTCGTATGGGGATTGCAGGGGAAATTTATTGCATCTTCGTAGTCTATACATTAGCTTCTTTAAAGATTCTAAAACACATTAATACTCCATGAGATTATTTAATAAAATCATACTTCTAACGTTATGGTATAAAAGTGATATGAAACCAGTATCGCAATAGTTTTGATGCTGACGGGACCGCGACTTCAACAAATGCCTATAATCAATAATAATTCTAATGGATTAAAAAAAAAAATTACTTTCATGAAATTGATATTATAAAGTTATTTTATATATGTATATTAATATGTAAAATAGCTAAAATATACATTATCGTTTCGGTGACCAGTGTGCATGGGCCCTAAGGCGGAAAACTTTTGCATGGCAGTATGATTTTCCGCCTAATATGAATACATAAACAATATTAGAATTATGATAAATAGTATCATATTTGATATCATTTTAGTATATCATAAATACTGCATAGTCACAGAGTTAGTAAATAAATGTAATCCCTTTTAAATTTGAATTTAGAACTTGATATTCGTTTTAAGTATTTATTGCATTTTACACTTTTTAATAGCCAGGACTTTTTGTTGAAGATTTAAAAAAAAATGTCACACATGCCTGTCTTTTGATTAACTTAGATTGTTATTAAGTTTTCAATTTAAAACTTCAAAAATATAAATAATATGTCATATAAATCATACGTAAGTGTTGCCATGTTGGGGTATTCAATTAGGTTCCAAAATTAAAACTGCATGCTTTTTTTTATTGTAATATTTTTTCTATTAGCTGCGAGCCCACTCGCACAGGTGTACGGCACGCTTGTGTTAAATAATACTTGTTGCTATGACGATGCCGCTATTTATCGGCATAATTATTAAATTAATAGATAAATCGTTTGATTGGTACAAATGAACACACAATTACACTGTTAACAAAGAGAAAGTCACACACTGTTTTGTTTCAATAACACCTTCCACCAAGGTTAGCTTTGTGTACGTCTCTGGTGTTGCAAGCGTTTATGGCAGCGTTTTTTATGTGTGAAGATGCAATGGTTACCCCGCCTGCGCTAACGGAATACGCTGGCGAAGCACCAGTGAAGGGTGATAGATGAGAATGAAAACAGGCCAGTTAGCCCATCATGATGAATTCATCAGGAATTAACCATGATAGTTTGCAGGGAGAACCGCGAGGAGGTCGACCTGGTTGGGTATATTGCTATCAATGGGATTCTCAGTCTCCATTACTAACAATCCCTTTCCCCCTAAAGCGTTGCCAGTTTGGGTACCTTTTTTTGCAATTTGGGCTAAAAATTTTTTGTTCGCGATATTTTGTAGAAATAAATGGAAGAAAAGTTTAATGGGCTTGGAGAATTTTGGGTAAATTTTTTGGCAGCTTTATGATATATGTATGAAAGTAGCAAAATAGAAGATGGGATAATACAAGGAAGCTAAAAGTACAACATGGAATCGGGCTTTATCGTCTTTTTGTGATTTATGGTCAAACTTAACAAAAATTGAGGGTAAAATCGATTTGGAGAAAAAATATTTGACACAATTAAAAAAATAATAAATAGTATCTAGCAACCCCGATTCCTGGGCTTCGGTGATTTCTCCCCATCAAGCGGGCCGTATATCTTATTTTTTTTTTATGGATGATAATGGAATGGTAACCCCGCCCGCGCTATCGGTATACACCGGCGGGGCACCAGTGAAGGATGATAGATGAGGATGAAGTAGGTCAGTTAGCCCATCGTAACGAATTCAACGAGAATAGTTCACGATGGTTTCCAGGGGGAACCACGTGGAGGTCGACCTAATAAGGCATATTGCTAGCAATGGGGCTGTCAAACTCCATTGCTAACAATCCCTTTCCCCCTGTATGTCTTATTTGGCAGCTTCGTATTCGAATAAAACTTGTTGATTACAGACAAAGTAAAATGGGTCATGGACACGGAACAATAAGTTATCTC